TGTCCGTTTCCGTCTTCGCTGTATACATTACTCTGTTTTCTTCCCAAGCTTGAGCATCTCTTCAAGATTTGCTTGATCGTCGCCGTTTGCGTTAGCTTGCTTGACTTTTTCATCGCCATTACGTTTTTTTTTCGTTCTTTGATCTGCTAAAAAAAATTACTTTTTTTTTTGCGTGTGTGTGATTTGAGTTTCAAGATCTTTCCTTTTTGCAGTTTCACAATGAAGGGTGAGTGTGAATAGACTGAGGAGGGCTCATGGAATTGTGGTTGGGGGTATTTATTGAGGTCTTGAGCGAGTGGAATTTTTTTTTTTATAAAAAAATATACGGAGTTTAAAATGTATATATATACACGAATTTATGTATACAAACATGTGTGTGTATATGTATAGTGGGAGAGAGAGAGAGGGATGGTGATATCGAGGCGTTGAGGAGATTATGATGTGTTTGTTGTCTGAATATGAATTTGCGTGTTTGCTACGGGTAACCATTTGTTGTGCATTAAGATGATACAAATATTAAATTTGTTGCAGAATTGATATAACGTAAAAACTCGAAAGCGACCGCTTTGGTCATCTGGTTTGGCTCCAAAAGAATTTTCTTATACGAACGAGGGGAAGAAATACAAACGAGGCGTAATTTAGATTAATATCCATTTTTATTTTAACTATTTCCAAAGCATGTGAAGATAGTGGGGGTCCAAAGTGAGATGAGTATGTGTGGAATTTGCTAAACGGACGGTCTGATATTGATCTCCTTTCACCTTTTTTTTTGTGGTTGGAAATATATGAATATCTCTAACTACTGTTTTTTCAGGTTCATGCATGCTCGCGGATTTTGCTAATTAATTAGGGTTCCAGTCTCATCCTTCGAGGTTGATTAGGGTTTTATTCGAAATTGATGTGTAGTTCTTTACATTCGTATTCTATAGTATTTTATTTGATTGTCTCCACTTTATGGTTATCTTGACGCATTCTCCCATTTACTTGTCCCAATTTTTTTATTTTGTTGCTAACATGTCCTGATTTCTTACATCGAGCATAGGGCTTTCATGATTTTATCCAAGTTGTTCTTGAATTACTCAATATCACATCATCTTAACAAGCAAATATCACATGTACGAAACACTCAACGTGTTACTTCATGCACGTTGTCAAACAGTAAGATAGAAAATTTGATACTTCAATTAAAAAATCACCAATGAATATTTCTTTTTTCAAGTACAAGTTTTTGGTCAAGAGGTGTTGTTTCACAGTATTACGAATTAGGGGTTTGGTACAGTTTACGTATTGTAGATCTCTTACAAATATTATCAATTTTGTTAGTGCCAGGTCTACAGACCAAATAAAACCTGTAACCTTGTAGTTTTTAAACAGAAATTACAAGTTATAAACGTTTTTCCATATTTTGGTCTATTATTTTGTTGGTCAAAGATGGTCAATAATATCATAATACTCTCTCCCAGATATAAAATTTGAAAATGTGTAACTTTTTCTGTTTATATCTCCAATGAGAAGAAAAGTACAGAAGAGTACCACGATCTTGGTTACTGAACCCGTGAATCTAGAAGAATAAAAGAAAAGACATCAAAGCTGAAACTTTATAAAGGATAAAAGGAGCGTCGTTGTAACCAATGAGCCACTAGTGAGTAATATATAGTATAGTATATACGTAGAGAGCGAAATGTCATTTGAAAAAATTATCATTCTGAAGTGTTAACGTAACACGTATAACTGAAATTCTGTCCACTTGGAAAACCATATACAGTGAATCTTTATATTATATAAAAAAATACGTTAAAAACAATAGAAAAAAAAAAGCAAAGAAGCAGAGGGAAAGGGTCGATGTTTCGGACCACAAGCTAAAACCAAGAAAATCGTAGCAATCAAACGGAGACTCTCCAACTGTTTCAACTGACTCACATGCCTTCTTAATTGCATCCTACGCTTCTCTGCTTCTCGTTTTCATGTTTATATTACCTTACCTTTCAAAAAAAAATACTTACAATTTGCTACTCCTACTTCTATACTACGCTTCTCTTGCTTCTATAATTTACCCTACTTTATTTTTGTAATTTTTAACCCATCTCTTTCGGTTTTTGTTTTTATGAACCGTCAAAATTCCAGACCTTCGTTGCATAATCTCCTATATCATTCAGGATTTGAACATAATACACATTAGAACCAATTCAATTGTACTACCACTATACCACCACTTATTTGGAGTATATATATATACCACCATGTTAAGTCAAACTTATATACGGAGTTTTCATTTCGTGTGTGTTAATATCAATATCATACATGCTCCATTTTTTTTTCAATAGACAAATCATTTTCTTGGTTTAAAGCTAAAAGTTAGCATTTAAATCAGCAATGTATGCAACCGTAAGTTAAAATAAATTATATAACAAACAAGTTAACTTTAAAACTTTTTGATAATTAAATAGCTCCAAGTTGCAGTAGTAGTAGGCTAGTAGCCCTTCCATACCCCCCCCCCCCCCCAAAATTAAATTTACGAATTTACTTCCTGCGTCTAACTATCCCACAGAGGCTATTATATACACTCACGTGGTTTATTCGTATTCTCTGAAACAATAAAAAAAAAACTCCGGCTAGATATTAAAATTGTGCAAAAGAACTAAAATCCGAAATGCATGCTCGCACACACGCACACAGTTACGTATACATAATTTAGAAAACAGTATAAATTTTGTTTGCATGCATAATCCATTTAATTACAAAACCGATGTAGAAAATAAGACAAAATTTGACGTATATTTTAGGGAAGATCAAAAGAAACTAAATAACAGTAAACGAGCGCGAGAGACGAAGACAAAACAGTGGGAGCCGTCACGGGTATGTTGTTTGTACAATAACAACGAGCCTGATCGATGAACAGTTACCAAATCGGCAGCGTGTGGTTGAGGCTTACAAATCAAGGACAGTTAAATGCTCTAAATTTATAAACAAAGAGATAAGGTGGTGTCTCGTTCGTACAATGACAGTACTCGAACTCGTTACGGCTTCTCCAATTTAATATCTGCAATTAATCTAGCAATAGCACATGCAAGCCGTATATTTTTCTTGGCTTTTTATGGTGTGTAAATTCGTCTTCATCTTCGAATCCATTCCACTGCATTTTGTTTTCTACAAGGAAAATAATTATATTCATGAAAAAAGTTATCTCTGTAAATGTACACGCAACAAGCTGTTAGCAAAAAATCACGAGCTTATAGTTTTTTTTTTTTTGGTAAATAAGTATGTAAAATTGTTTATAAGAAATGCATTGAAACGGGGAGATGACGGAATAAGGTTCCTAACGAACTGCGAATATCTTCTTAGAATGAAACCAAACTCACATGTTCCATCAACGAGATTGGTCACATGAAAACTGAAACTTCAATTTATTTTCTTTCTCAATTTTGTAGAAACTATACTAGTTTTAAATAGGTCCCACAACAGCTAAGTAGTTGGCATAACCAGAACACATAAGGAACATCATGTTTATTTTCAATCGAATTTACAAAACACAACTATTACATCAATTTTGGCCAACGTTCTATTTTCGCTGATTTTTAATTTAATCATATAATATATACATAATGCGACGTAGAGTACTAAAAAGAAACTACCCGTTCGATAATGTTCTGGGAAGAAGGATACTTATTTAAAAAGAAATAAAATATACGTTCTAAACAATATCAAGTTTTTGCCTAACTAATTACTGTGTAAGTGCATAAACTACCCAATCGATTCTCCAAAAATTATCAACTGCCCTATACTATAACATACACTTTATAAAAGTAGGTGCATATCAGCATATATACTAATATACATCATATGAATCCCATTTTTGAAAACTATTTGAGCTATTTTTTTTTGTATGTCGAAACCACATGATATTGATATGTCGAATATCTTTTTGGATTTTCTTCGGAGAGAGAATATAGGGTTTTTCTTTATTTCTTACACTAGTATAATAGATTTAAATATTTACACTTATGTTTGCTATCACAAATCCGTTGTAGTCTAGCTGGTTAGGATACTCGGCTCTCACCCGAGAGACCCGGGTTCGAGTCCCGGCAACGGAGAAACATTTTATAAACTTTTTTGAATCAAATAAGTGTGGGCTTCAACTTCATCACTCACTATCAAGAGGAGTCGATTATTTTGCTCATAGTAGATCAACAAATAAAGATATATAGCTCGGCCCATGTAAAAGCCCAGCCCAAATAAAGCTCCATGGAAGGGATAATAAATACATAGCTTTCCCGATTGCTCGCCGGATTCGCCAGCGGAGAGGATTTTTCTGGGAGAAAACAAAACCTTTGGTGCTCGTACCCAGATTTGTAGCTCAGGTTCGTCATAGTCTTCCTCGTTCTTCAATCACTCTGGATTCCTCTTTTTTTTCGTAGATTTTTTAATTCTCGCCTGACGGGTTTGGTGGATTTGTTTAGGTTGAGTTTATAATCTGGGGGTTAAACAATATTGCTTGTTAGGTTAGAAATTTGTTTTTGTGTGAGATCTGATTGCTTTCACGTTAGATTGTTTATTGCGGTGCGGATAATAGATTTTTATTTTTTTATAAATCGAAATGCGATTTCAAGAGATTTGGATTCTGTGGAACCCAATGAGTTTGTGAAGGCTGAGGAAATTTCCCGAAACTGGTTTTGGACGATGATGTCGAAACACAAGAACTTGGTGGTGTTGCGGAGTTTTGGATACTCAGATTGAGATCCTTGTTGTGGCATAATCAGATCTGTATTGTGGGTTTTTCTTGAATAAACTGTGTTGAGGAAGACATTGGAGTGATTTGAAGATTTTGATGTATGCGAGTGAAGGGAGGTAATGTTGGTGTGTGGTTGAATGTTGGCAGGTGTTTGATTAAAAGGTTTCGTTTTTTTGGTGGGGAGGGAATGAGTTCAATGAGCAGAAGCAGAAGCAGAAGCAGGAGTCGAAGTCGCGATCGGAGTCGTAGTCGGAGTCCGAGAGACAGGAGAATGAGATCTGAGCGAATCTCTTACCGTGATGCTCCTTATAGAAGGGAGCGTGAGCCACGTCGTGCTTTCAGGTCTTTCTTCCTTTCTATGTCCCGAGCCTCTCTCTTCAGTAGTAACCCCTTACTGTTCACTCTCGTCCCCGAAAACCATAACAACGTCCTGAAAATCTTTTTCTCCGTTATGCTTCTCTACTATGTTACTTGCTGGCAATGCAGCCACAATCCTATGCTAGCTTGCTTATGACTTGGACTTGCTGAGCAACTTCTCTGGTCTCAAGCCTTCTTCTCTATTCTACTCGTTATCAAGATGATGTGATTAGGGTAGGATCAGGGTTATGATTGTTTCTTTGATTGAAATGAGAATGTTAGGTTGCTTTTAGTTCTACTCTTTACTTGCGTACATACTTTTTTTGAATTAAGTTATCTTGTAACTAGTGCGTTTCAGTGTGGATTGTCTCGATTTTATTGACATTCTTGTAAAATATTTGTTCAGCCAAAGTAATCTCTGCAACAACTGCAAGCGACCTGGTCACTTTGCAAGAGACTGTCCTAATGTTTCCGTCTGTAACAACTGTGGCCTTCCAGGGTATAATTTATACATCCTCCCTAGCTTAATTTCTGAATATATCTGTTTATATATACGTGTCTCATAAACTTTCTCTTGCAGGCACATTGCAGCGGAATGCACTGCAGAATCTCGGTGCTGGAACTGTAGAGAACCGGGTCACATTGCTGGAAACTGCTCAAACGAAGGAATCTGCCACTCGTGCGGCAAAACTGGACACCGAGCGAGGGACTGCACTAACCCGGTTTCTCGTCCAGGAGACTTGCGGCTATGCAACAACTGCTTCAAACCGGGTCACCTCGCCGCTGACTGCACAAACGACAAGGCGTGCAAGAACTGCAGGACTTCAGGCCACATAGCTCGTGATTGCCAGAACGACCCAGTCTGCAACATCTGCAGCATCTCGGGACATGTTGCAAGGCAGTGCCCAAAAGGGGACAGCAGTTTCTCTGACAGAGACAGAGGAAGCAGGGTTCGAGGCTTTGGAGTGCAGAGAGATGGTTTCAGTAGAATGGGCAGAGACGGCGGCGGAATGCAAAGAGATGCTTTCAACAGAATCGGCAGAGACGGCGTTGGCTCGATAATAATATGCCACAACTGTGGTGGCCGAGGACACATGGCTTACGAGTGCCCGTCTGCTCGAATCGTTGACCGTGGATTCCGCCGTTACTGAAACCTATCAATCTTTAGGTTTATGTTTGGTGATTCTGTAGCTTTTGCTCTCTGGTGAGTGGCTGGTTTTTGGGAAATTTGAGACATTGCTTGTGTTGTATGAAATATTGAATATTTTAGATGTGACGCAGAGTTGTGAGTTTTCAGATTCCAATATTATTCGAAAAACAAGTTTATTGTTTGATTGTCTCTCAATCATTGAGTAATTTAAAGGTTTAGTTAAGCATTCGTTGTCAAACTCCACTTTTTCATCGCCCTCTCGAACAAATTTCGAAAATGATAAAATTGCATTATACAGTGTAACTTTTAGTGGGGGAGAAATGGTGGTCCTGTTTCATCTACAAGTAGATGAAATGAAATTGGATAACGTAAAAGGAAAGTATAAACAACCGTACCAAATACTCCATAAATACTTGCAAATATATGTTTTATTGTAAATTTCGTAGTCTAATAAAAAAAAGTTGGCATGCGAGTTTTTTTTTGTTTTGTTTTATTTGGCATGCGAAGTTTATAGTAATTAAAGATGTAGAGACAATTTGTAACAGTAGTGGATTGTTTTACACTCTTTCGATTCGTTGTTTTTATATGCTGGTAAAAAAGATTAATAAAATGCGTTAGTGGCATCATTGCGTAAGATTTCTTTTGTAATTTTGAAAAAAAAAGAAAAGATGTTCATTGAAGGAGAAGACTTGCAGTGTTGATTGATGGCTACTAGTCTACTACCACTAGTCGTGTTACCGAAGGGATCTCTCTGCTTTTTCTTAATTATAATCACTTAATAATTTAATTAAGTAACCACTAACCTTTTTTTACTGCTAATAATATAAAGTTTCGTATACATTATGGATATTAATGATGGATTAACTATGTTGTCCTGTAATTGTATAAGTACTAATAATTCCAATGACAACCAACAAACTCAATACAAGTAAAACTAAAATAAATTAGAAACGGGAGATATATCTCGTTATAAGAAACCTTTTTGTGTTGTACTTGTACAAAATCAAGTTAACTAACTAGGTCAATATGTGTCCTTAAAGAAACAAATAATAAGTTGACAAAAAAAACATAATTATCATCCTCTCTCGATCTCTTCTTCATTTTTCGGACAACAAAAATTATTTCTGCTATGACAAAAACTTTATTCTTGGTAGGACCAAACCTAACTGTCAGTGAGAATTTTCAATTTATTTTATAGGGACAAAAACAAATGGACTATAAAGAGAGGACCCGAGTGAAGAAGCTACATATCACATCAAAGAAAATCAAGACTACGTATAAAAACTTTGTGGAGAAAAAAAAAATGAAGACAACTTCTTCATTAGTAGTTATTTTCCTCCTCGTGCTGATCTTACACACTAACAAACTAGAGAGTGGGAATGTTCATTCCCCTGATCAAGACACGGTCAAGAACAGCAACAACAATGCTGATGAAAACAACACAACCACCGAAATAGTTCTAAAGGACAGGAAAAGAAGTTATAGTGGAGGAAGCGGTAGCTATAGATGGGGATGGGGTGGTGGTGGCGGCGGAGGAGGAGGTGGAGGTGGAGGCGGTGGAGGAGGAGGTGGTGGTGGTGGCGGCGGAGGAAGAGGATGGGGATGGGGAGGAGGAGGAGGTGGTGGAGGATGGTACAAATGGGGTTGTGGCGGTGGAGGAAGAGGAAAAGGAAGAGAAGGAAGAGGAGAGTTTGTGAAAAGAGAATATGCAGAGTGCAAGGGACAAGGGAGATGTCGAGGAAAGAGATTGGACTGTCCTCAACACTGTGGAGGTTTTTGTTTTTACGATTGTCTCTTTCTCTGCAAACCGCATTGCCGTCGCTAGAGAGATATATATCTATCCATATTGTTTGGTTTTCACGATTCTCCTTTTTTTTTTTTTTTTTTATGGTTTGTTTGGTTTCTTTTTGGTACCCTTATTTGTTAGGGTTTCTTCTTTACAAAACTTTCGGGGGTTTTTGAGTGGTGGACATCTTGAATTCTTGATTCATCTTTTTTTTTTTTGGGTTGCTTTGTATGATGAACTAAAAGTTCATAAAAGATTTTCTATATGAGATTTTTCTTTTGCAATTGAATCTCCAATGTTAAAGGTTGCATGTCTTCTTTATTTTCTATAATGAACATTTTTAAAAAAGAAACCTTTCATTTGTACCATCTCTTGGTTATTTTAAACGATATATCTCATTGTTTCCTAATTATTATCTCCATTTATCCTGATCACACAGTAGACTATTGACTACGAAAGTGGAAAAGGTTAGTCGAGAAACTATAGGCGTAGAAAAGTCTTCGAAAAGTTGGAACGAAATCTTTCTCGATGGCATAAAACTTTAAATTATTCATCTTTTTAAGCATGATTTTTGGTGGTAGACTGTATAATGTTAATGCAACAAAAAAAATAGATAATGTCAGCACTAAAGAAACATCAAAACAATGATGATTATTAGAAACACTCAGTGCAATTATGCAACAAGAAAAAAGGTTTCGAATTAAAACAAAAAATAAAGTTAGTGTTTGGGTTTAATTTCTATGGAAAGCGAACGGTTGATATTTTGAATCAAAATGGGCCTGAAATAGTTGAGCCCAACAGTTAAACATAACGAAGATTACTCTAGTCTTACTTTCTTACTTCCTTTTTGACCATTTACAGTTTGCTGATTAAAACGAGTTAATGACGTGTCGGTACTTTATTAGTATATAGTTTTGGCTGCAACAATGACGTGTCGTTAGTTATCAGAGCTCTCGAGGCATATTCAATCCGAAACAAAAATATGCCGATGGTGATGGGCACGTTATGGTGTATTTGTCTCCATTATTCTTTTCTCTGAACAAAAAAAAAGATATATATATATCTATAATTGTTAATATAATATTAAATAAATACCAACTAAATCCAAAACCAATCCTTCACCCATACGGCCAAATGTGGGAGGCAGAACCGCAAAAGATGAAAAAGACGTCTTCACATACAAAAATACACCACTAGATTTCATATATAGAGTTTGGAACTTTCAATTTTGACTTATTTATGCTGAGAAAGGAAAAATAATGTAGAGAATTGAAATTAACTAATTTCCTTTCTATGAAGTCTTTTGCTTCCACAAAAACAGGAGAAGTCTTGCTCCGTGATTTACAAAATAACTCATGGGGCTTTTATTACATGAAAACTTTGCAATAAAATATATATATATTTTTTTGACAACCTTTGCAATAAAGATAAGAAAGAAACATTTGCATAAAACCAAAAGAGAATATAGGATTATTACAAAGATTTGAAACAGCAACCCTCAATCGCACTCAAAATTTACAAAAGACGAGACCAAAAAAAAAAGAAAACCTAATCCTACCAAGATCGAAGTTCAAGAGAAATCAAGAAAATCAAACGAACAAACAAACAAAAGAAGAAAAAAAAAACACATGTGAATTACCAGAGAGATCTTAACTTTTTATTAGAAGGAAGAGGAGGAGGATGAGTAAAACTATTAGTAGTAATCTGTGGGACAGTGAAGCCACCATCATCATACCATCTCTTGTTCTGTCCTTGTTGTTTCATGTTTTGTATTGGAGCATAGGTCTGTACTTCTGGTGATGTTTCTTTGTTGTTGTACATCCCAAACTGAATATTGTTGTTGTTCTTGTCTTGAGAAAAGTACTGATCTGTGTATGAATAAGGAAGAGTTTGTGGAATCTGAGGGACCCAAATCCCCAAATTCTTAGATGGAAGTGACACTGTATTGTTGTTGTTGTTGCTTCTCTTAGTGCTGTCATCTTCTGCTTCCATATATGGTAATACTCCATCCTCATCACTACTCTGCAATCACAGAAAAAAAAAAAACTCTTTTTTAGGAAAAAGATCTATCCACATCTCTAAAAAGTTTGTTACTTTTCCATATCTCAAGATCTGAAATGATATGATATTACGTAAACAGTGGAAATGAAAGCAGAAGATCAAATCTCTAAGGGTCACTGAAGTTACTAAAAAAAGACCAAATCTTGACCAAACAAAAAGAAATCTCAAAAAACTTTTGATATTTTTTGATTAGAGAGAGAAGAACAAACCTTGGAGAAACCAAAAGGAGGAAGAGAAGAATCGAGGAAATCCTCAACGTGCCATCCAGGTAACGTATCGATCAAATACTCTGAAATCGTGCTTGTTGATCCCCACTGATTCACCGCCGCATCGCCACCGATCTTCGAAGAAGGTTGGATCTTGGAGTTGTTGCTCTGAGGAGATGAGAGAGGTTTCTTGAGAGGAGGATCGGTGACTGATGATCCAGGGACAGAATAATCTTGGCTGCTTGAAGAAGAAGAAGTTTCTGAAGTGGGTTTGTAAACAGAGGATGTAGCAGAGAGCTTAACCCCTGTGAGAAGGAACCTATCGTGTTTCTTCGTGTGTTCGTTCGCAGAGTGGATGGATGAATCACAATCTTTGCATAAAATAGCCCTATCTTGTTGACAAAACAAGAGAGCTTTTTTCTCCTACAGTTCACCAGAAAAAAAAAAAAAAGTTCAGGATTTTGATCGGAAAATGGATTATCAACGGGATTACACAAAACCCATGTCCTAAAAATCTTGACAAGAAATTGAAAGAGACCTGACATATGTCGCAGATAGGAGAGGAGTTGTTGGAGGAAGAAGGATAGAGGAGAGAGAAACGGAGATGTTTGGAGGCGAGTTTGTTAGCGTGGTGGACTCGGTGGTCGCAGCCGCCGCACAGAGACGCTTCGTCGGCGGTGCAAAACACCGACGCTTCTTCTTTATCGCAGACGTCGCACCTGATCTTCATCAATCGATCGATTAAGAGAGAGAGAGCGAGAGAGAGAGGTTGAAAAGGATTGGAGAGAAGATGTGAAATATTATGGAGTTCTGTAATAAAAGGAAAGAGAACATGGAGAGGGTGCTTATGTAATTATCATCATTTTCATCTTCCTTTTTGCTCAATCATATCTCTCTCATATTTTATTCTACTAAAAAAATAGTTCTTGTTTTATATGAGATGTCCATGAAGTAATCTTTGTTAGATAACTTAGATTATCTTTTTCCATTTCATTTCACCAGTCACCTTTTTAGATAAAACACAGCGAGAGTGCCATGTTAGTTCCGCGCATATATTATTGTACATAACTAATTTTACAAAATGAAATTAAAAATTATAGACCCCCGGCCCTTTCTTAAGTTATTATTAAACATTAACTTACATGCATGTAAATATAATGATAATTAAAGTAAATTTATTCGATAAATAACATTAAAAAATATATAAGAGACATTAATATTTCAATTCTGGATCAGATAACCATAAATTCAAGTCGGACCGATTTTATATTTGTACATATACATAATGTCAATTTGATTGTATATATTAACTATATTAAGTTGTATAATTTTTGAATTGATAACTTATTAGTGGTAAATCGTAAATGAAACTAACTGATGTTCCAGAGATGTGAGATTTCTAACAAGGTTCGATAATCACATGTGTATGCTATAAAAAAAATCAAACAACAAAATATATATTTTAAATAAAAACCGTCGTGCATGTGCATTGTTCATATCACCTAAAAAGTTTACATTGGAGATAATATTACGCAGTTTTTCCCTGAGCTGTCCCCTATAAGCATGAAGTTGCAGATTCAACACTAATAATCCAAGGGAAAATGCGAACGCGAAAGAGAATCGATATCTATATATATGACGCTACTTTTGTTTTAGCTGATAGGTCTCTTGTTTATTCAAATTCCATCTAGAGTGAAGCTCACGCATGTACTAAGTCCAAATAGAGGATGAAGGTCAAACGTAGTTACAGTTCCAGCTGTATGTTAAATTAATTGTTGTAATATGTTTGCAATATCATTGTGTAATCTTTGTTTTGACGGATTATGGTTGAAGCCATCGAAGAACTTTGCTTTGGAAGTGGAGGGTGGGTGGTGTGAGGCGTATGTAGCGAACCCAAGTGGACTTGGTGGGTCTTTCTTTCCTTTACATAAATAATTAAACGCATAAAAATACACGTCTGATTACTTTTTTTGACAACTTCACCTTTTTGAAATCTTTTTATTTTGTTATTTTTTCCCATACTTGAGTTTCAAAGCTCAAATATTAACGAAGTGAAAAACTGCTATATATATATTTATATATATCTCTCTTTTTAATTCTAGACTTATATAGATTAATTTTTGAAAAAATGCAATATATGGATAGACCCTCTCTCCAAATATTTAAATAGATCAAAAACAAGAATTTGTATCTGTGTGACTAAGTTAAATTGGTTTAACAATTCCATACTTAAAGGAAAATGATATATTTTTCAAGTTTTTTTCAAAATAAATTTTAGAAATTCATCACAATAAGTTCATCAGAATATTTCTTAGTATGATCACGTAATCTTATAATTGGTTTCGAAGAACTAAGAAGATTCTAATTATAATAACTGGTTTATTTTTCTCCACTCTAAACCTACACTATCAAACAACATAAGATTATAAAGAATTTTTATTTGATCGGGAGTGTAATCTAGTAGCACCATCATATCTTGTAAATTACTAAGTTCCTTTTCTTTTGTCAACAATTACTAAATTCTCCAGTCCTAAAAAAGTAGCAAACAAAAGAATAAAAGATTCGACAATTAGGTAAAGGCGTATGCTTAAAGAAACTTTAACCCGTATAGAAGCCTGCATAATTGTATATTATAAAGTTATATAAACTCATAAAGAATCCATGTATCGAGCTCGTAGTATATTTAATTTTTCTTAGGAGTCCACGTTGATATACCCTTCAGCCTCCGCGACTACCTTTCTTATCTTATCTATCTCAATTTTTGTATAATTAGTAACCACCAGTAGAAAAAAGTTCATGTTCGAAACTGCTATTTGTAATAATATTTCCGCAGTTCTCATGATGTAATGTCCCTCCCTGACTAATGACTGTTTGCTAATCAAAATGTTATCATTAATTAGTGTAGTTAAACTAACTTGTATGATCTGACAATAAAATCAAAGTAACTTGTACTATGATAAAAGGATATTATGAGTCGAGATGCAGTGCAGCAGTATGAATTTGTGTGCCCGTATTTTCAATTAAAATCGCTATTTTTATTTGATAGAGAACACATATATAATAATACAGTCTCCATGTGCCCAGCGTCGAACGCAAGTTTACTTTAAGATTAGTTATAACTTATAAGTTAACTTTCTGAATGTGAGCTAGGGAACAAGATGGGCCCTACTATCAAAGTCTCATGTACGATATTTAGCAACTAGCAGGTGGATCATCATGGCGGAAAACATTAAAATATCATTAGATCGAGGCAAAAATGAACTTGGGTCACAACGAGTTTGTTTCTTTTCATATTATATTTGGAAGCCTGGGTCTGGATGATGTTAATAAACCACAAGAACTTGCTGGTTTATGTATTTCGTGATGTACAAAAATTCGTTCATTGTTTGCTTTGAACGATGATGGATCGAACTAATCGGCAACAGATAAAACTTTGATGTTAGTCGAACGAAGAAAAAGGCTGGACAAAGAGAGTTTGTTGTTAGTAAAAATTATTAGGGTTTCCTCCATATTTATCTATATATATAATAAGATCAAGACAACACGTGGCTAGTTTGGTCCGTCGTGTCTCTCGTACGTTGTTCGAAGCTCCACACCTAGAATTCGACTCGGTCACACCCGTCTAATTTCTGTTAATTCATTTTCTGATTAAAATTAAATTTACACGTTGTACTTTAATTTTTTGCATATAATCCCACGCACTTTTGACTCGGCTGAAAGTCAAATGGAAGTATATCATAACAGAATTAGTGGAATGACACAGTAACAAAAAACATGCAAAGTGATTAATATAATTACATTTCAAAAACATGAAAATTTGATAAACATTTTTGAAACATAGAAAAATCACATTTATTATTAAAACGTGAAAAATGGTATTACCATTAATCTCGTCCCCCAATTGGTAATTGGAGTATTTCTACTTTTCAGAATAATGTAATTAAGCGTCTGTCAACCCCCAAAAAAAAAGGAATAAAATAATGGAATTAGTTGGATCTGAATGGGCAGAAGGTGGGGGAAGACAATCTCGAAGGCTCTCGATTCTTAACAGCGATTCAATAGTATATTTTATTAAGCGAATTTAATGATTTTAGTGGACCACTCTGAGAGTTTTCATTAATTTAACGTATATGAATAGGCCCTTACGTTACATATATATATATATATATATTAATACTTAATCGCTTATGCAAAATAACCCGAAGCGAGGAACTCACGATATTTTCGTGGGTTTTTATATTACTGTTCATATTTATGATAGTCATAACACACTATTGTTATTGTAATTACAATAAACAACTTTTGATTGCTGTTGTAATTAATATAAACCAAAAACTAATCAAAATATAACCAACAAAATACAAAAAAAAAAAGAAGGTTTATGCTCAGATTTGGCCTAAACAGTTTCATCTATAAAATAAGGATCACTGATAAGGCTGGTGAACATTTATTGATAAGTTTGCAACTGATGCTTCGGAGTTGTGTAGAGCTATTACGTGACTTTCGCTTTGGCCGGCGTTCTTCTCCGGGCGGTTCTTGAAATCAAGGAACAGAAGTGAAAAGTGAAAATTTCTATTTTAGAGCTTGAACTCTGGTTTCTCACTTGTTGAAATATCCAACGTTTTAAAACAAATATCTAAAAACAATTTACGATTAACAGCTAAGGTATTTTTCGAAGTTTAGATTTTACGGTAAAAGGATAAAAGCTTAGCTAACAAAACGAAAAAGAAATCAATAATATACAGAAATGTTTAATTCTGGTTGAATTAGTCTTCGTGTTTTAAAGTGATAATAATGGCACTAATGATTCAAAAATTATATAATTTAAAAAAGTAGTATTCGATAATATCTTTACATTGTCATGGGACTAGTGTTATAAAATATCTAAATCAGAAAGATGGTTTGTATATTACCTCAAAAACAAAATTTGGCCAATCAGTGTCACCATCTCTCAAGTCCACTACATTGCCCATTCTTTGCATCAATGCACTCAGAGATCCTCATCGCATTGATTCGGATTTTGTTTTTTTCTCACCTTTTTATTTCACTCTTATTGACTATATATATCACAATGACTAATTGAAAAAGAAAAAAAAACAATGAAAAGAAACCAACTTTTTAATCACTCACTCAACTTTTTGATTGGACCAATGTCACGTGTTGGAAAATCATATTACAGCTATTTAACATATAGTTTCTGCTACGTTCCTATATACTATATAGTAAGGATATGATCTTACTTGTGAATCCCATCTAGATATCTTTTAACAGCCTTCTCGTTCGTCTCGAATACGAAAGACATCTCTCGTATCTGCAAAAGAAAAAACATTGATCGGCTACGGTTTCTTGGTCATAAGACTCATAACATTGAAACAGAAGTAAAAAAAAAAATCATTTACCTGGATTAAGCTATTGTTATTGAGATTAACAACTTCTCTGTGTCCAACTTCTTTTTCGTTTATCCATATTGAAAACTTCCCAAGATTCTTGATTTCAAAACAACCGTCTTGCTTTAACCTGATTAGAGCCTGGTTCCAAATAAAAAACTCAAAACACTTTTAAAACTCTTCCTCCATCAAAAATGTATTATATAATCATTGAACAGAGATGTTGATATCATGAAACGACGTCATCACCTGTCGTCGAGAGACTTTAGTTCCAGACCCTGACCTTCCTAAGTCGATATCCACAGGATATTCTCCAGTCGCTCTACCAAGCAACACCTGAAACGTTGAAGTTTCAGTTAAATCGTTTAATTACTCTAATCAAGGCTTTTCAAGAGAAGATTAAAAATAATAACCTCTGCTTTGTTAATGTAATGCTTAGAACTTCCGTATAGAATAGCAAAAGCTCCATGAGAAGCGATGTTACGGTTCATGAAAGACTTAGAACTCTGCTCTAGTCTCATGATCATTCTCGCCATTGAATCGTTTCGATATCTTGAAGCTACACACAATCAATAAGTATAGCTTTTTGTTAAACTAAAGAACAACAGATTAATGGCAACGTTACAGTTTGAGAGAGCGCTTATTAATTTACTTACCTTCCAACTCGTACCGGTCTTGAACTATCGGTTCAAGTTCCATGTCAAGAACCTGATTGGTTCAAAAAAAGAAAACACAGTTTCAGTAATTTCAACCAAGAGAAGACAATAGTTTTCACAGACTTGTAAGAGTTTGTATATACCATTGCTTCAACATCTGAAAAGCAAGGCAAGTCTTCATCACTCTCAATATCATTATTATTCCCCTCTTCTTCTGACATTGGAACGTTTATGTCCATCTCTGCACTCAATATCTGTTCAAAGATTTCATTCTCTGGAGACTGTTGTAGTGATGCTGAAGTTGTTGCAAGTGTCTCTTTCTCGGCAAAGCTATCTTTAAATGCAGAAGAACAACTTGCTTCTGTTGTACCAGAACTGTGGATAATTTCATTACCTCTGGCTTGTGATAGCGATGATCCTGCTCTGATAGGAGGCAGAGGTGGTTTCATATGCTTCCTCAACGAAGAAGGATTAATCGAGTTTCGAGCTATCGGTTTGTACGGTATTGGGTTGAAATCATCGTTATCTGGAATCTCTTGTTGCTCTTGGTTTAGAACACAGTTGATAACACCATTCACGATTTCTGGATGTGGATCCAATTCAGACAATGACTTAGCTTTATGACAGTATTCCTCTGGTTTGCTTGGCAAGTCTTGATGAGACTCTGAAGCAATCCAAGTCCCTGCTTGATCAGGGACTACTTGGTCATGTAACTGTGATGTTGTCGTCTCATTGAAGTATGTAACTGGTTGTTGTAACAGAGGATCTTGAAACTCTTCTTGATACAAACCATGTTCTGTTGTTGTTGTGTCCGTAACATTACAGTCTTGAATCTGACCATCGTTGATGTTTAACAACTGATCCGCCATTTGCTCATCATCTGCTTGTTGATGCATAATCCCTGGGAAGATATTCTGAATGATCTCATAGTCTGACTCATTAAACTGCAGATCGTAGAACTCAGGACCATCAAACGCGTGTTCTCCAAACGCAACGTCTTCGACAATACCGTCGTTAAGAGGCTCCTCCAAACGCATCCTCTTACGCGCCGTGTAATACTGAGACCTGACCGGTGTTGTGTAATGCTGATGACGACTACGAGTTTGAGGAAGGAACTGATCTGAGTATTCGATATCGAATCCGGTTGATGAAGACAGAGATGTGACTTGTGGATCGTAGAGAAGAGAATGCCATCGATCTGTTATCTCCGAAAGTGTGAATTTTCGAGAGAATTTGACTGCTCCTTTCGCTAGTGACTCTAGTGATGCTCCATTCTATCATTATAACAGGAAAAATTAAAACTCTATTAATCAATCATTAGAAAAAATTGCAAATCCAAATCCTGGATTTTTAGATAGTGACGATTTCTAATTTTCTATTATAAACAACTGGAAACCCTTAAGTCTCGATATTAATCAGGTTATGATCAAGGAAGAGTCGGGTGACTTGGAAAGCAAGCTACCATGTCAATTATTTATAGAGATGAGGTTTTAACGCTGCAGTGATTTAGGATTTTAGTTCGGAATTCAGTGATATCAACTCGTTACGGCAATGCGAAATACCAAAAGACAAACAAATAAAGTAGAAGATTTTGAAATCAAAAGATTAACAAAACAAAAAAAAAAACTGAGTCAAAATTAGGGTTTTATGAAAACTAAACCTCGATTGATTTTCTGAGACGAAAGTCATCTTCAGGGATCCAGTGAGACGCCATCAGAGATGCAAATATTAAGCTTTTTCTCCGGGAAGCGATAGAAGCTTCTACTAAGTCGATGAAATATTGAGAAAGGAAATATTTTCGAGAGAATCAATTACAAATCTTATTTATCTAAAATTAGCTCATTAAAAACTTCTAGACTTCTTAGTGTAAAGAAAAAAAGAAAAAAAACTCCTAGTCTTCTCGTTTTCTCATTTTTTTCGATTTCTTTAAATTAACCCCAACTTTTTTTCTTTTTTCTATATAGATTCCTTTTCCTATTTTATTAATGTTATTTCTTGTGAAGAAAACATAGTTCTGGGATTTTTTAATAATAAATGACAATTAATATAGAGATTATTATTATTATTATTATAACATTGAATATTAATGAACGGTGGTAAAAGAAATTACGAAAAAAAAGGAAAGGAAATTTAACAAACCGACATCAACGAATTGACGATTACTTACAAATATATTATGGGCTTTTGAGTTCGGCCCTTTATATTTGGAAGTTTAACCGAGTGGTACGATTCGGAAGTAAGGCCCAAAAAGTATATAGCCGAAGTTAAAAAGGCTGTAACGGATAACATATAATGGGCCTTAAAGTTAAAAAGTTAGCTTTAAACAAAATAAATCATTACCTATAATGGGCCTTAAAGTTAAGTCAATCGAAAGAACAAGTGGGCTGTAATGCCCAAACATATTACCACTATGACTGACTTGGGCCGTCCGAGTTTAATCCGGCAATGGAAATTTCGGTATTTTATACAATTAGCTCAAAAATACTAGAAGATTCTGTAAATCAAATAGGCCGTCTCACTTATTTATCCTGAGACTAGAGTAGAGTATAGTGCTAAAGATTCGTGAATGGTCTACAAAAAAAATTTAGAAAACTATCAAAATTTCTTTAAATAGACGCCTATTTACATGTGAGCTATATATAATACACACATATATTATAAGACTCTGAAGAATGGTGGTGGTCACGTGACAATGAGTCTTTGTAACCTTCGTGGAGACCACAACGCTGTCTTTTCTTCGGCCGGTCTCTTCTCCTTAAAAGGCATATATATATATATATATAGGCCTATTATATTATACGTTTATTTGTACTTTAAATATGCGTATTAATATTAGTATTTATATATACACACACATAGAGCTAGAGCTTAATGTGAAGCATGTGCATGGATGGGAGACGGGCCCCACGGGCTTTATGAGGCCCATAAAGCTATTGGAGGGGGACCACGTGGCAAGAGGCTAGTGCCTACAAGTGGAGGGATCCTAAGAAAGTAAAGTACGTATAAGTTTGATCTCGTGATCGTACGTACTGTTTCTACTATTGGCATGCACTGTTCGTCGCCTAGGGTTTCAGAATTAGACTTGCTTATTATACTTAACTTGTCATGTATTCGTGAACCACAGTTACAATCACATCACCTTATATTGTCTTCGATTTCTTATAATTTATATATAAATATACGATGGGAAAATCGTCTGAAGTGGGTGAATACACGCGAATTTCAATGGATTAATATGTTTGTTATTGTAGGGACATCGCCGAAACTAGAAATTAGTATTCTTTTTGGCTCCCTCGTCTGATTTTGAAAGTATAGTTTGTGTTACATATTGGAATAAAGTTTATTCTTAACGCAGTAAATCGAATATCTTAGCTTTAGGAAGACGCTTTGAGTCACTTCCTTCCTTTATTTTCAACAAGACAAAAACCCGTTTCTGGCGGAAAGAGCATAATTATAACTTAGCTTTAAGCAAAAAAATGATGGTCACAAAGGCATAATGGAGAACATGTTATCTTTCCTAATAGTAATAAAAAAAACATTCCATCAATTCACGTCTAATCTACTTCCCTAATTGTATGTGAGATCGACTAAACGTGATTCATATACTGAGGTATTTACGTAGTTGCATATAGAGAAGAAGAGAGAAAAAGAAGAAAAAACTTTTCATATGTGTTAATTACTACTTGCTGAAGAACATTTGAGCTGATATAAATATTTCAAAAATGTATTTCGTTTACTTTCTAAACTGTTACTAATATTCTGTGTTATCCTTTATTTATTATAGGTTATAATTAATTTTTTTTATGTGTGTTTAAATACTCGAACTTTGATTGTAGTAAAACATGTAACGACTGAATATTTTTTTCCATAATGGAACTGCTATAAGTCTTGTGTGTGTTTTTATTTGTTGTTTTTTATACTTTCTAAAGGTCGGAGTTGATTCCAACTCCTAACATTGGTCCTAAAATAAATAAAAAATTAATTTCTTTCGATAAAACTCATCTATAATTTCTCCACCCTGAATTTTGATCAGAGTAAAAAATAAAATAATACTCCTTCTGTCTGTATTTATAAGATATTTTAAAAGTTCTTTTTTAAAATTATATAACGTTTTCAAAATTCAATGTTAAAATTAATTGTTTTAACTGTTTAAATTATGTCTATTGTTTTCTATTAGATGAATTATTTTGAAATTAATGTTTTCTTTTGAAAAAATTAAGAAAATTGAATAATTTATTAATTTGTGAACAAAACCTTAAACATTATATATAAAAAGGAGTAGATATTTAAATTGGATATTTTTGAGAAATCGACCTCTTTTTTTCTTCGGTTGTGAAAAACTCATGTAAGAAAGTGTAGATAGAGGTGTTCAAAGTGTCAATTTAAATAACTTTTGAACTCGACGTATAGATAATATATATAATCATTGAGAAGATTGTCGGGAAACTACTGTTAGCGAGAAGAATGATTGACTGGCATGTATATATATAAAGGGAGAGAGGAGAGAGAGATATGCAAGCGAGAAGAAAGGTGAGCACAAGGCTCGAGAGTGAAAGACAACAACTAAATAATAATTGGAGCTAATCCTTATTCTTGAATTTTTCTTTAGATGATGACCTTTGCTCCTTCTTCACTCTCTACCTGACTTGTGGGAGGTGACAAAATCGTAATTTTATTTTATTTAAATTATAATTATAACATCTTAGATTACCTCGGCTGCAAACAAAAATCTCATATATCCTCTTAAAAGTCAAAATATTCAATTGCACGCAATTTGACAAGTACATATTAGTTTCCATCACAAAGATTTAGGGTTAGAATTTGTGGTGTCGATTCACTTCAGCATTAGTTAAACTTGTGTTGGTTTTACGGTGGATTGAAGCTTTCCTCTCTGAAAAATATGCACCTTAAAACTGTTTTATTATCTATAAATAGATACATTCAATATGCCCTTTCTAAAAAAAACAATTATGATTTGCTTGGTGTTTTTAGAAAGAAAACGAATGTTAGATGACAATGTTAATCATTTGAACATGTTGTATAACCTCATTGCCTACGCATGACTACACATAGCACTTTTTGTTGTTGGTGGATTTTATTTAGAAACATATATAGATATAATTTGGAAACATCTATATCAAAATTGAATGAGTTGGAAGCTTATATACATATATTTTCATAATTAACGATAGTGGATGGGACATCTATATATCGTGTATTACGTTTTTTTTTACATGAAGTAGTTAAGAGATATCATCCGCCCAAAACAAACCAGTTCCCGTCAAATTATCAAAAAATGACAAGAACAAAAAAAAATGTTAACCAAAGGAAAGAAAAAGAAGGGAAAAAAGTAAAGAAGAAAAGACAAAAGAGATATACGGCAACTAGCTGTTAAAAAAAAGAAGACATTAGGCAACTAGTTTAATCATGAAGATCCCGAGTCATCAAAGTTAGGACTCTATTAAATTAAAAAGTGTTACGTAATTACATTTACAAATAAAGACAAAATAGTGATTTAGTCAACAAGAAATTCTAAAATACTAAAGTTTCATGTCTCGGGCCCCTAAATACGATCAATTTTTTTTTGGGTAACTAATACTACTAACTACGTACGATCAACCATTCTAGTTATTTCTATTAGGAAGGGTCAAGCTTTATTAGTCATGATGTTAACAATTGTAAACAATGTTCGGGATGGGCCTTATTCTTGTTTGATATTCTACTTGCTGTTTTTCGAATACGCATTTTTTTTTTCTAACAAGAAATTATGGAGCGAAATCCAACTTAACGGTCAATATAATCTGTATAAAACTATGTTTTCGGATATTTAAACTGTTTACAATTTTCTGAAATTTTTCCCTGTAATTAGAATACTCTTGCCCGATTTCGTAAAACTTTGTTCACAAATCTTCAAGAATTCAAAGCAAATGCTGATCTGCTAAAACGAAAAAGGCATTTGCTCACCAAAATAACCAAATACGCAAATCCTCATAAATTTTCATATTTCATCTTCAAGCATTAGTGTGTGTTATAATTGTACATATATAGACATTACTGATTATTTTTTTAATTATTTTTTTGACAACCAAAATCCGATATACCGATTTGGAAGAGAGGAAACAACACGTCTCACGTTCAATACTAATGGTATTGGTAAGACTTTATCTTGTGAAATTGGTTGTGTATTAATTGGCCCGTTGATACCCAAGATTTGATCAAATCTAGATATAAGAATTGAGAAGTCAAATCTCACTCGTGACCTGATGATATTATGAATAAATAATATGCAAGATAATTCGTCAACAGTTGGCAGTGTAAGGTGAAAATATTGATTTGTAAATCTTTATTCTATCAAAATCGATTTTGATATTATACATAGTTGTTGTTTTGGTCAAAATATTATAATTATAGATAGTTTAAAGAAAATATATAAAAAAGTACATGAAACGAGAGAAAATAAAAGACATATTATTCAGTTTTGATATAGCTATTCACGTTATATTTTTATTAGGGGAGGTTATTCGCTTTAAATTAACTATCTCGTCAGCAAACAACACAACGAGTAATAGTATATCTTTAACACATATATTAGTACAACAAAGAATTCTATATGCAATATGCTAACAATCTTCACTATATATAGTTGCTTTCGTTAAATATGTAATAATTCATATCTTATGAAAATCAAACCCGATTCAAACCAGATACAAAGCAAATAAACTTTTTCAGCCAAGGAACTAAAAGGAACTTCCACCAAAGATATAAACTTTAAAGGCATTTATTTAATATCAAATGCGCTTAATTATCATTATCAAATGCAAATTGCGCCGCTAATTGACGCGGTTCCACGTGATCAAAGACACTAGCTAGAGTGGGTCTGCTTGCTTTGGGTTCTAATGTCACTCCAAGGTATGGACTGAATAAGTTTAAATTTCTATAGAATATGTATGACCAATTGCTACGTTCTAATTAAGTATAAAATAGTTGAAAGGTGATAATAAAAAGAAGCTAGTTTCAGATAAAACCACTAATGGTTTTACTCAATCCAAGTACACATATTGTCATGATATATATAAACTTATTCACTCATACAGACTTATATGGTGTATATATTGCTGTGCTCTATTTTTTTATTTATAAGAAAAAAGAGAAAACTGATGATTTCGTTTTTTTTTTAATTAATTTTTTTTTTCAAAATTTGAAATATGAACGTGAAAGCTAAGTTTTCTCTTTCAATCGGAACGAGCTCAAAATTCTAAATACAGAAATAAATACATAATATTCATGTAATAGTTTGGGTAAAGATGGAAGCCGATCACATCCATTCATCGACTAATAATAATGACTCGTGACCTAAAGCTTAGACTAGGGATCGCTGTTCAGCAAAAATCATTTAAACCACAGCACACATATGTGTAGTTCAACTTCTTAAAACCACTTATCTGTTCTTTGTTTTAGTTCTGTTGACATATCTATTGCACCGGTCAGAGATTTAATTATAGAAATACATATAGCTAATTTTCTGAAGATAATATGTATAATCTACAGTACTTAGTTTGATTATTCTCTATTATTCACCAAAAACCCATAATTTTTTGAAACTTCATAAAAACATGAATTATTTACAGATCTTTTGTTAGATTCTAAAATTGATCAGGTGATAAAGTCGATCACATATAATTGAAAATGAACATTCTCAAATCTCAACCAAAACCCCTCTGATAAGTTGATATTTTATTTGGCAGTCGTATTAAAAACAAAATTAATTCCTTCGTGATTGAATTTATCACCTAGTTCACATATACTGCATAGTTATGTATATACACTTTATTAATGCCACGTAATCCGGGTTAGACGAATAAAATCATAAATGACAGAGGAATTACCGCACGTAGGCTTCGTTGAAAAAGTTATATTTTCAGACTATATGTCAATGAAGGTCTAATCGCCGTGATTAAGCTGTAAACCTCCCGATAAGACCGCCCGTGACGATAAAACGTCAAAGCAATGTGACGTTAGACTTCCTCTAATTCTCTTTTTTTTTATATATATATATAACTTTTTACCCCTCGATTTCTCCCTTTAATGTTTTTCATTACTATTTCCATATAATTCTATAATTCGGATTGAAAGGGGAAAGAAAAGATAAACGGTGGGGAGGGTTTTGCGGGGGAGGGACGAGTGGAGAAAAACTCCCTGTTCTAACACGTGGCATTTTTGTCACCATTGATAAAAACTAACAGCGTTAGCTTAAATACTAATAAATGCGAGCGATTTTCTTCTAGTTTATATTATTTGTATGTTTTTTTTTAGTTTACACATCATAAATAGCAAAATAGAGTAATGCGAAGTTTTGATACAAAAATAAATACTAATGCGAAGACGAATAATTAAGCTAAATTCTACAAAAGTAAATCCTCGACTATATCATATAATAAAATACGCCTCATGCATACTATTTTGGATCCCTAAATACCGATTATGTGAATAAGAAAAACTGTGTCATTTTTTTTCTTCTTTACATGTATTTCGATCGTTATAAAGGAATATAAAAATACTGAGGAAAGATGTAGAGAATAAATATGATCACCTCAAACTATTAGGGATATCTAATATCTTATGCAAATTTTTATTGAAAGTGTATTTGATATATTAAATCTTCTATAAAAGAATTAGAAATCCCATTTTTTATATATATTTTTGAATCAATGTTTTGTTGGAATGCTCCAATTGAGGCCGAGAAAAGAAGCACGCATATATTATAAATTGAGTGATACTTAAAATAATGCCAGCTTATCTTTTTTATCAATTTCTTTTTCTTTTCTTTTCTTTTAAACATATATAGTGAATGATATTTATGTGATGGGGATTCACTCAAACTGGAAGATAACTGTAGTGAAGTGCCCAAAGCAAAAGATCTTCATGGGACTCTCTAAGTCTTAAAAGCCTTTTCTCTCTCTCTTTATCCACAGAGAAAACCCAGCAGCTTCCACTTTCAAAGATCAAGATTGTGCTGTCTTAAAATGATACAGAGTGACTAATTCCATGGTGGCGTTTCCACTTAACTAAAAAAAATTTTCCTCATCATTTACTCTCAATCTCTCCAAGCAAAGAAAAAGATTTGACTCTTTCTTGGATCTCTTTGGGGTGTGTTGTGTGTGTGATGTGGATTATCACTTGGGAAAGAAATGGCAGGATTATTCTATCTAGGAGGGAGAGACAACAACAACAACAAGCAAGATCATCATCAAGTAGACAAGGATCATCATCATCACCAACATCAAGACAAGAGCAATTATCTTTATCTTTACAAAGACGAGATCTATAATACCAACAAGGGTTTCGAGATTTGGCCTCCTCAGTACTTCCAACAACAAGAACAGCAGCAGCAGCAGCAACAACAACAACAACATGTCTCAGCTCCTGCAAACTTCTACTCATTTGGAATGGTTCCAAGTGGAAGCAGCAGCAACAACAACAACAACAACAGCAATAACAGGAGCCGGAGTTTATACTTCAACGTAGTCTCCGATCATGAGCCGGGAGGGTTCACGGTGACGAGACAAGGAGGTATGAATTGTCAAGATTGTGGGAATCAAGCTAAGAAAGATTGTCCTCATATGAGATGTAGAACTTGTTGTAAAAGCCGAGGCTTTCACTGTCAAACTCACGTTAAGAGCACTTGGGTTCCGGCTGCCAAACGCCGTGAGCGGTTAGCCCAACTCGCCTCCTTGCAGCACCACTCCGCCTCCAGCCGTGAAACGCAAACCGCAAACGCGAAACGCCTACGAGAAGCTAATGGTGGTGATAATGATGATAGAGACCATAGTGGTGGTGGTGGTGGATCGGCTCTTGCTAATACCCGTGTGGTGAATGCTAATTCTAACTCAGGTAAAACTTTGATCATGGTGTGTGTTTGTTCGAATTGATAATACTGGATGTAGCTTACATAATTGATTGAATTTTCAAGAAAAGTGTCAAAGTTTTAATTATGAATGTTTGTGGAGAAGTACAACATCATTTGCGTGTGAATGAGGATGTCCGCCGGATATTGCTGCTTTATTTTTTTTTCGAAGTTACTGTTTCTTAGTAAACCTGACGACATAAAAGGGTTTCTCCAAGATCGATTTCATGTAAACACAATGCAATAAATATTTAAAGATTTGGTTTTTCGCTAGATATCAAATCAATAACATGCTATACTAAAAGAGAGACAAAACAACTAAGGTTTAGTTTTTTAATTATTATTCCTAATTACAATCATTAATGAAATTTAGGGTTGGAGGTGAGTCAGAACTTACCACCGGAAGTTAGCTCACCGGCGGTCTTCCGATGCGTTCGAGTGAGCTCGATAGAAGAGGATGAAGATGATCAAGAATATGCTTATCAAACGACTGTGAACATTGGAGGACATGTCTTCAAAGGTATTCTCTATGACCAAGGACCAGATCATCAAGATCATCATCATCAACTTAACCTCCTTGCCTCCACTGCCACAACCACCAATGCCGAACATACTCCTGCGAAAACTGCGGTTACTGTTGCCGGTAACAACAACAGCGGATTAATTCTCGATCCGTCGTCGCTTTATCCGGCTCAACTAAACTCCTTCATCGCCGGTACGCCATTCTTCACACCTCCGAGGTCTTGAGATTCAGACTCAGTTATTGAATATTATTTCACCTTTACAACGTTAAAAATAAGAAGAGGCATTTCTTTGTTGTTGTTTTTGTATTCGTCTTTGTCTTTTTAAGATTTCGTGCTACTCCGTTAGCTAGGTGTTACTTAATGGTGATTAACATGCACATCGTACGAGTACGTTTTTCTAAGAAGATCAATGAGAGATAATTTAATGTTCTAGACTTTATCGGTTTCCTCTCGTGGTTAATTATTCGTTGCATATTTCTACATGAAACAATTTCTACAGCTTTTGCGTGGTTTATTGCTTAGGATCGATCTCTTCGTGTCAATTTGAATGTGGTTTAGTTGGAGGTTTATGTATCACCAATTAATCCTCATTTTTATTGCTGTACGTTAATAGTATTTTTTTAAGTAAAGGTCAAATCAATGTTTTTCTAATTAATGAAAACATTTTTCGGTTCGATATTGCATTAGCTTTCTGGTTGGTGTTGAGCTCGAAGCTGCTTTTTCCCCCGTTTCTCCGTTTGCTTGCCGGATCTAAATATGACTTACAACTAGGTTCCGTGTTCCATTGATCATATATTTTTTTTTATAAATATATATTTTAAGAAAACTTTAAACAACTTTATAAGATGTAAAATTCATTCTCAATTAAAATTTAAACATCTCGGAAAAAATGGAAAATGTTTAGTTAAACAAAGAAAGAAGAAGGTCCTGGGCGGCTTTAAATCATATTCATGCATTAACTTTAATGTGGTATACTTTTCTCTTGTTTGAATCTGCTGGTTGAATAAGCCAAAAATTTACATAATGTATATATATATACTTTTATATATATTATTGGACCTTTACTCTATGGTTTTTACGTACTTAGATAATATCGTGTTATTCCATCTATATTCAACCCCTATCTACAATAATAGGACGTTAAGATTAACTTATTTAATTGGAGAACGTCAAATTATGAGTTAATTCGTAACATGTGAAATGCTAATTGGCGTAGATGAATTTAAAACGGATAATAATATAGGGCATTTATATCAAACTACTCCCCTGCAGAACTATGATATTTTTAGCCATTTGATTACTACTTGCATGGATGTGACTATTATTCGTCTGTACCTAATCCCCCATTTAATATTCAACTTTTTTTCTTTCTTACAACTTATAGTCTTATTTTATACACATCTCCAAATGACTCAGATACAGACTTATAGAAGACGTTAAAATCGGTTTCGTTATCCTTGTGAATGATATTGATATTCAATATGCAATAATGATTAGCTACTACGTACTGTTATAGATTGCTTGATTTAGGACAAGTATAAGAATGACAGAGGAGAAGATGGAAGTTACTCAAAACTGTACAGTGTCTGACTCAGGACATGTGATCTCTTCTTTCAGTCTCTCTCGATCAAACTTATTTTGTTTAATTTTTAGAAAAAAATCACGATCGTCTCCTCTGATACTTTGCTTAATCTGTCTCACTTTTTATTTCGCAAAACAGCCTCATAGGATTAGCCTATGGTTTTCCTTTTGGAATGATCTATTATCTAGCCATAACTTTTTGTAACTAATTTTAATTATTGTATTTGTTTTTTTCTTTGTTATTACGTACCGATGACGTACATGTGGTTCCGATGGTACGTATACTTAGAGCCATCCTCACAGGTCAAATGTTAGGCATTGTCATTAATTGCCATTAAAATACGTTAGGTTAAGTTTGAAAGTATGGCTAGCCAGTATATTTGTTAATTAATTATGTTGAGAAAAAGGGAAACTAAATGGGTCAAGGAGCATGAAGAGTCAAAAGACTCGACACATCATTGTAAAATTTCTAAGTCTACGGTCAAAGTGAGAGACTATGGTATCGAACAGAGATTTTGAAGTGAATCCACAACTTCTGTTATACTTATATACCTAACTCGATTCTGATTGATATGACACTTTCTTTCTTTATCTCAACCCCCTTCACAAGAAAAACATAGAAATCCTCCAAGGCTCCGACATGTCTAAAGGTATCAATTAGTGACAATGTGTGCATTTTCACTTCTCGCATTCCCTTCAAACCAATCATGAATATAAGCAAAAATCATGGTGAGGAGTATATATATATATATATATCCTAGCAAAATTACATGTTAAGTTCCTTTCACATATTATATGATAAAATACTATATAACAAAAAAAACTCAATATATAAATACAAAATTAAAAAATAATACTAAAACTTATTTGAATCGCTATATTGTATTAGTTTTTTGGTGTAATGATAATGAAGCAGTGGAAAAAACCTTAAAAGAAAGAGGTTATTGGTCCCCCCCCCCCCTTTGTATATTAAGCAACTGAGTGAAAGTAGTGGTTAGGGTTTCTCGTGGATTTAGTTAAGTTTCTTTATACCAGAATTACTTCTTTGTCGTTTGTCCAAAACGGAATCTATATCTAAAACTCGGTGTCTTTATCAGCACACAATCGTGGTCCAACCAAAATAATTTGTGTGTTTTCCATTTAATACATACACGATACATCCATGTATGTTGTTATGTGGCACAAGCCACCTAAACAACCGTTTGAGCCCACCAATGTTATATATTTGTGGATTGTTGTCGTTTAGGCCATAAGGTTCGGGAATGAAGGAACCGGGCCAAGACGCTTGTCATCACTTGAATCGGGTGAATCCGTAAAACCAATTGGTCAAAGATTTACAGAGAACATATTTATAGTAAGTAGACTTATTTGACGATCATAAAACTTTAACGGAAAAAAAAAGAGAGAATCATAGCAAGTGAGAAAGAAGAGAAAGAAGTATTGGTGGTTGCATCTTCTTCTCCGCCCATATTCTGGTTGATCCTTGCATGATTTACGGTGGCGATTACTTGCATAGTCCGTCACATCTCTGTATTTTTAGAAGTTTGAAGCAAGTTGATTTGTTTAACTGTATGTATCATTTGACCATATTATAAAATTGTAAAATCACAGTTTGGGGAAATAATTAGTAAAATGGCCAATAAAAGAACTGGGTTTCTTGACACGAGATATGGGCTCAGGGTATTTAGTAACGGGCCGGGTCTCTGAGAAGGGTATTTAGTAACTGGGTTTCTGGGCACGAGATATGGGCCAAGGCCCAATTATTCAGTCCGGGTATTTTAGTAACGGGTCGGTTCTCTCAGAAGGTTTTCCTTTTCTCTTCGCCTCCGCTTCAAAAGTAAGAGAAGACTTATTAGGGTTATAGTCAAAACGCAAAGAGTCTTTTGAGACAATAAAGAAACAAGAACCCGAAACAGAGATTAGATCAGACAGAACACAGAGGAAGTAAACTGCGATAAAGAGAAAGAAGATTTGTTTCGGAGAAGAACGCATAGTATTCAAGTAACGATGGAAGATGATCGAAGTAACGGTCACGATCTGGATTTGGAAAAAGCCGACCGACCGGTTTGGTTGATGAAGAGTCCTGTAGTTGTAGCCAAGGCGTGGGAGAAGCACGGTCCTTCTTCTTCCTCTTATTATTCGTCTTCTTCCTTGGAATCGCCTAATTTGGCCAAGGTTGTTCTCTCCGTTGATCCTCTACGGTCCGATCCTTCTCCTTCTCCCGAGGTATTCGATTATTGAATCCTCGAGTTTTCCAATTTATGTGTAATTAGCTGGAAAAAAACCCGGTTTCGAAACCCTAGATTGTTGATTGAGTTGAAACTTCTTATCTAATTGAAGGGTTTTAGAGAGTTATATTACTTGTAAAATAGGGACAATGATAATTTCGATAGTGATCACAAAGTTTGAGTTTTTTTTTTTTCATGGCAATTTCACTACCTCATGTCAAGATCTGTGCTTTTTTTTTTTTTTTTTGCTTAGTGTTATAGTTTGTGTGGTTCGTTTTCAACTTAATTTCACTGTAATGGTGATATTCAGTTCACCATGGATATGTCTGGTGCTGAGTATGGGAACATGCCAAAGAGCTACGCTTTGAACATGTTTAAAGATTTTGTTCCTATGGAGGTCTTCTCTGACGTCCATCAAGGTGAGGCTGTCGTTTCGGTTTTACTTTTGTCTGATTGAAAAACATCAGATTTTGTACTAAGGCCAGATTTTTCCGGCGAGATTTAGACATCTCTTGATACCTTTTTTTTTTTTTTGGTGATCGTGCTTATAGTTAACCTAGCTGCTGAAGGAAAGATAGAGCACAAGTTCGACATGAAGCCACACGGCGAAAACATTGAGGAATATGCAAGGCTTTGTAGGGAAAGAACAAGCAAAGCAATGGTTAAAAACCGACAGATACAGGTAATTTTTTACCTGCGCGTTTACGTCATTGTTACTACTTGTTATAGTCCTTCTCCGGCTCTAACTCTTTTGCTAACTATGTAATACTTCTTCTTCCTTGAAAAGGTTATCGACCACGGCCGCGAAGGAAATATATACTTCAGGCCCCTGTCTGTACCGGTTGGTTTAACTTCCTCAAATTCTAAGGTTTATTTTGTAGTCTTGTCAATGATCTTTGCACATATGGAGTAATCATTGAGATGGTAAAAGTTTATGAAGCGGCGATTATTCAAACTTTCATACTAAAACTTCAGCTATAATGATCTGAAATCTCAGTCTTGTGTCTATATCTTTCATTCCTGATCTGATGTACTAAGTATATGTGTCTCTGAATGAGCCGCAGGACAAGAAGAGACCTGCCCCAGTCAAGCAAACGGAAGTGAAGAGGACGAGGAGAGATCGTGGTGAGCTCGAAGCTATAATGTTTAAGCTATTCGAAGGCCAACCGAACTGGACACTGAAGCAGCTGATTCAGGAAACAGACCAACCAGCGCAATTTTTGAAAGAAATACTAAACGAGCTATGCGTGTACAATAAGAGAGGTTCGAACCAAGGGACATATGAGCTTAAACCAGAGTACAAGAAAGCTGCTGAAGAAGATACAGGTGGCCAGTAAAATTCGAAAAATCCCATGTGTTGTAGCACTTATATACATGTGCCTTAGCATAATTTTATTTATAAACAAACCAACTCATTGATATTTGGAGAGGGGTTTATTACTATAATTTGTATTATTAAAGCGAAATTATGCAAATTATGAAAGTGTTTGTTTACAACGACGACAAATAGCAAAGTCATGTGGCCGTTTGGTTGGATATAAACATATAACGAACATGAAGTCTTGTCTAAAGAGACGAGACGTCAATGTGTCTTCCACTGCTTGAACATAATCGTGACTGATCTCACATTTGAAAGCGACGTGAAAATTTTCCGATTTTCTTTATTAAAACTACGTCCGGATGATTCTCTCTTTGAAGATTCCAAGTTGTGACATTTGAGCCGTAGAACGGGATGATGAACATTAATGACAGAGACAGCAATATAAATGGTAATGTACTTCCCTCTCTTTTTTGTTTGTGGCAGACACACTAATCGTGTTTCTTTACATTCTGTTTCTCCTTATAACGTTACATTCAATTTCAGATTTTCAATCACTTAAGTTTTGAATGAAATGAAATAACTAAATTTAGGATTTTAGATTCGGACATATATCATTAAACATGTAATTAATAACATACTGTTCTATAATCAAACTATAAAAATAATAGTACGATGGTCTCGGTTTCGGATATAAGGGCGTAAACTCGTTATATCCATGCAGCTGGATTCCCTACTCTGTCTCTCGAGATTATTCAGACGTTTCAGTGAAACCTACATACTCGATACAAATCTAAAAATGTTAGAACAGAAATTAGTTTTTAAAGATACAAATTCACTAATCTTACAAAAACAATTAAATTTTCAATCATTGTTGTAAATTTTACAATGTGGTTGTATCATAGCATTATATTTATGGGACGAAAACAGTGAAAAAAGCATGCAAATTAATTTAAGAAATTATCATTGGTACTTTAACTGTTAGCAAAATCTTTTTCTTTCCTTTCTACGATGGAGTCTGTGATTGCAAATGTTGAAAAGATGTAAGAACTCTTATTATTTCTTTGACCAAGTCACAGACGTGAACGAGGAAAATAACAAGCGGAGGAAGATAGCAATGAAGACATGTAAAAAGAAGTTGTTAATCTTTCTTTTTTTTGGTTAGATATATCTGTAATCTTCTTACATTAAATTGATTATACCAATGTTTTTTTTACTAGCTATTTTTACAATTAAATGAATTCACAAATACTTAAAAAAACAAAATATTCCATGATTTTAAAAAATATAGCTTATATATGTAGTACACAAAAGCGTGGCTTGATAAAAGAAAGAGATAAAATGATCATGTTTAAGGTGGAAAATGTAATCCTTTCATGGAAAATTTAGTGTTACAGAGAAGACTAAATAAATTAAATCATGACAATTATATCAGTAGTTTAATCATGTCGGACTATCTCGAATAAGATTATAAGAGAAATCCCACCGAATTTCATGTCAAATATAGTGGATTTTCCCATAATTAATTTATGCATGCATGCCAAACAAAAGCAATCGAGATGAATAAAAAAAAATATAAATAATAATAAAAGTCAGTATATGTTTTGGACATAGAGAAGACCTCGCATGCAAAAAGCCAACCCACAAATAGTTACAGAAACACCTAATTGCCTAACAGAAAAAAACTTATAATTTCTTCTTTTTTCAAGATAATTGAATAAGTTTTTATTGATTTAGCTGATAGAACAGTTTTTGAGTAATTTATTAGCAACAAAAAAGATGAAGAAATGTGAGTAAAAATTATTTGGCCGTCGTGTGTGTGTTCACAGTTCACTGCGAGAATATATATAGGCTTTATTATCGTAAAATCATGTGAACAACAAGGTCCCAAAACGCAAATATATCGGCTCTAAGTAATAACCCATTTTTGGTTTTAAAAAGAGATGTACTTTTGAATCCATATCTAGCTAAAAGCTCTAAAAGCAGCTCATGAAATAATAAACAAATAGCCAAACAGCCTCTTTTGAAAACGTAACTGGTTCACATATACAATAAATATGCCTTCATTATTTCTCACTTGCTCTAAATTTATTTGTGTTACCACTGTTAATTGAGTGCTATAAAATGTGACATTGTTCATCACGTTTTCTCGATTAAAATTAGTAGATAGTTTCAAAAAAAAAATCGTAAATTTCCATAAATTTTAACAATTTGAACAAATTTTATGAATCTTTCACAAGTATTTGACACTTTCACACGTAACAACAACTTTTTGGTAAAAAATGTTGCTTATAGTATATCTAGTTTTCAATTTTTATTTCATAAGTATATAAACTGTTTGCAATAATATATACTTATGTTTTCAATACTATAATAAACTTCTTTAACAAGTGTTTTAAAGCTTTCACAAGTTTTAGAAAATTTGACTTGTCTTAGAGATTTCACATATTCTTTGTAATGATAATGATTTTACGTGTTCTTCATTTTTGTTAATCTAAATTTTAAATCCTGAAATCAATCATAATTATAGAATCATAGATTCTAACTGCCGTTTTAAGCCACAACTATTTTTGTGATTTTTAAAATATGAGTTTTAGAACTGCCATAGCCCATAGTTCGTCGATTGCAATTGCTTTATTTTGATTAAAAAAAAGAAGAAGAAAGAATTGTATCTGTTAATAACGTATTTTAGTGGGTAAAGTGGCATTAGTCTTATAATAATATGTTGAAGGGTCAGACTTGTCTCGTCCTTATAGTGTTGTCGCACGTCAAGGTGTCTCCTTAGTGACATCCACTTATCATCACAATTTCACAAACGAATCTAACGACCCTTTCTCAAATATCAATCAAACGGCCATAGGGTTCAAACATCGGATGAGTAATACACATAAATCTATCAAAAATCAAATTAGAGCTCGGTTAAGTATATATAAATCTGATTGGTGAGTGGGTGACTCGTTTAATCCTTTTTAATAACATGGATCTCATATGGGAACTCAGACTAATCTCATATAATCATGATTTATATAGAAAGCTGGATTTTGGCAAATTAACCAAATAAGAACTCAACAGTGGAAGTTTGTAATTGATGAGATTCGATCTTTGGCTAATATTGATATGAAATTTTGCACCACTCGAACACCGCGCCAGTAGATATTATCGCTCCTTGGTTCCCATTAAATCATTATCCACATGTATGTAACACATAAACACCATTGAATTATCATGTGCACCAGTACATTCATTGAGGTATACACAGTCATTAAATGTGATCCATTTTTGCAGAATTGTGTCTACGTTCTTCAGACAATATGCTTTAGGTTCGGAACGCCATTTTTGTTGATTATAATCCTACCTGTTCTATTATATATGTGACTTATCACAACTATTGTCGTAAATAAGTGGCAGCGTTTAGTGTGTTTGGATTCCAAAACTATGCATGATCATTAAGAATCTCTCTAAAAAGTAAATACGGTTTTTTTTTATCTAGAAAATTAGGTTAAAAGCTAGTAATATTTTGTGTATTAAAATTCAAAAGAGTAGTGAGAAAAGGAGAGAGATAGATCGGAGACAAGAAGATTCGCTCGTGGGCGAGCAAAGATCATAAAGAAATGAAATAAAGTGAGGAAAAAAGGAGACAAAGCATTTAAATATCCCAACTAAGATTGGTCTCCCTCTTCTTCTTCGTCTGCTCGTCATCGTTACTGTCTTGCTGGGTCCTTACCCGACCCGTTACTTTCTTGCTGGGTCCTTACCCGACTCGTCTTTTACCCTTTACCCGTACGTTGAAAGAAAGAGACTTGGATAAAAGTTTAAACTTTATATAAAAGGGTTTATTGTCTTCTTTTTCAACATAAAAGGGGATTTGTTTTCTTCTTTCTAAACTAAACAAGGGGTTATCTTCTGTCACTAAGACGAAAAATGCTAATTAATTCCTTTAATTAAAGACGTTGTAAGCACTAGTTCCGGAAATTGGGCAAATTAATAGTGAACTTTTAGTCTTTACCATCAATAATACTCCTTTTCTTTAATTTGATAAAATGGTGTTTCATGATCTTTAATAACCAATAATTATTTTTACGAGTGATCTATCATACTTCTTATTTTAAAAACCTAGTAAATACTATACTACTTGATCCTAATCTCCATGATTAACTTATTATTTTGAAAGTTGTGCAATTTCGAATTATATTTGTTTAGTGTATATATATATATATATATCTAATGTTTTATTCGATTATTCATTTAAAATGAAGTAGCTTTAAAATGGAGTTCGATTTATATCAAATGTATTATTGTATTTTCGATTCCAAGAATTATTTCATTTTGGAATTGAAAATGAAGTAGAGTTGGAAGAGATTCCTTTTAAAATTTGGAATAAGCTTGAAAATAATTTTAGAAGAAAATTTAAGCTTTTTCAGAAAAGATGAAAAGTTTCAATTATAAGTTTAATGCTAGTTTCGCGTAGGTAACTACGAAACGTCATTTGAGAATGAGTACAAAAGCGTATATAAATCATGAAGCTAAGTTAGATATTATATCATGTATGTTTCCTTACCGTTCATATTGATTACTACTATAGCTCCTGTGATTTGCTAAATAGTACGTAATATATTTGAAAATAATATAATTCCCAATGTCAATCATACAATGATAGGACGAATGTTTGATCCAGTTGGTAAGACTTGACAGAGGAATTAACAATTTCATGTAGTTTGATTATTTAAACGTATGTATTTTTATAAATGATTAAATTTATGTATGCATTCACAGAAATTGTATTTAGATTCGGGAGTTACACCATAATAATGAATGGATCTTTCTCGACAAATGGCACAAAGAATACGGTTGAACATATGTGTGGCACTTGTACGGCCCGTTTCATCACAAATATACTCTTTTCTTAAGTAAAAAAAAACAAGAATGCTCCTCTCCATTAATTAAGATTTTATTTTTATACCCCAAAATTAAAATTTATTTTAGGTGGACTATATGTATAAATGCTTTAACTCTGATGGATGTGATTTTATTTCTTTGTCGATAATATTTGGTCGCTACTACTACATATATTTAGCACTATATCTGTTTAATAATAATATTTATTATGCATGAAAGTTTTTTCTACAAGTTTACGAAAATTTGAAAAAGAAAGATTAAGGTATTTTGGGGTATTCTACGAAAACTTTAAAAGAAAAAATTATATTAGTATTTTAGAGTATTCTTTTCAGATGGACTTATATTAAATAGAGAAATGCCTATTTAAAACAACAACAACAAAATAGAGAAAGCAACTTTTTGTGACGTGAAAACATAAATATTTTTTTTTAATTGATGTATTATATTCTCAATATATATATTATTGTGCCTAAAAATAAAAATATATTTATATAAAACAGAAAATATAATATTATTACATATCGTTAATCTAAAACAGTTTTGTGACAAGAAATTCCATGAGCTTTTCTGTCGTGATTATACTTATATATACGTGGAAGAAAAATTTAAAAATATATACATATGTGATTTCTTTTCACGTGGATGTGCACATGTTTCGACCACATTTTACCAAATAAGCTTGTGTTCAGTGTATATATTGTCAATCTTTCCAAAAAAACGAAACAAAAAGAAAGAGAGAAATGAAAGCATACAAGCAACCATAATTTTTTCGATGATTCTAATCTATAAGGATACAAATATATTTGAGTACTGGAATTAAAACTAAAGTAATACACATGTATACAACTAAAATAATTGAGGACAAATACAGATAATAATATTGGTGTAAGCGTGTACATAAATATTGAGCGTGTGGGTGTGCCTACGAAATAAGAGGTACTGTGGGTCTCACGGTTTGCGAGTGCGCGTGGGGCTCGTCCCTACATAATTAATTATGTAGCATAAACAACTAATAATATCTACAAAAGAAGTAAATAAAAGTATACAGTATTAAAATGAATTTTAGTACTAGTACAGTAAGACTGTTATTCTCCTGGGGATTACTGTACAAGTAATAATTAGTTGCAATGCCATGCTGCTCAATAAATAAGAAAGGAAAGGACAATCTAAAACCATTATAATGTCTAAGATATTGAGTGCATATTGAGGAATACAGTAATAAAAACAATTGTGCCTTTTCTATTTTTTATTTTTTTTACTTTCAGATTAAAAATGATTTTAGATACCAAAAAAAAATTAGGAAGAACAATGATGGTTGCGTTAATGAGTAGTGGCGTGAGGGTTGTCATGTCAGCTACAACAGGCAGAAAATAAAAGAATGTGGGAGACAGCCTTTGCCCTTTACACATTTGTTAAGCTCTCTTCTTTATTTTTCTAAGAATACAATAGTACACAGTTGAAATTGCGGGCCCTTTCTTTAATCAATTTGATTTACATTTTACAGCTTCATTCATATAGTTAACTTAAAATCAATGAGAGATGTTCTGTTTATTTGTTATAACTTTTTCAAGGACACATTTTTATTCAAGTTGTCTCATAATTTTTAACCAGGATGTGTATAATGAAAGTTTCGATGTTTTAGACACGAGGACGGATAATTAACTAAAATGCTATCATTCGAGTTATCGAATGTCTTTAGCTCGAATGAGTTATTACAAATTGGAAAATTTAGAATTTGCGAAAGCGAGTGAGACTTAAAATGGAATTTTATTTATGTTCTGCTCTTGAAACTATAAATATTAATCTTTTAGTTATAAAAAAAATGTTTGATTAAATTTTGATTTTAGAGACCATGATCTTACCTCAACATACGCCACTATCCACAAAACGTTTGTAAGATTTTTGATTTTTAGAGACCACTCTATTTTTCGGAAAAGCTCACCTTGATATTTGTCCGTTTATACCCGCCGAATCTGCTGCAAATTCAACTAGAGAATTGGCTTCAAAAACCAAAAGCGGTAACTGCGATGACGTTGATGGTGCTATGATGATATGCTTGACCGAAGTTTCTGTTTTAAAGTTAGGGTCTCCAACAAACAAAATTTAAAGCTGATTGCGGAAAATTTATGATATTTTGTTTTAGTTCTAGAGATTTTTGTAATCTATAAACCCAAAACACGGTCGTCTTTAGTTAGTTAATGTTAAAACGAGTATGTTTTATTTATCGTTTAGTGAATTGATGCCGTTAGCATCCTTGGATTTTGATATGCATGCATCATCAGTTCTATGCAATCTAATATATAAATAGATTAACATACACACCAAAACACAGATATAACCTAGTAATTTCATCATTCTTCGTTCCAGTATATACCAACGTAACAAATTCTGTTTACGATCGGAAAACAACAAAAACAAATCATTAATGTACTTAAATCCGTACCTAAATCCATTTATTTCAATATTTCACATTGTTATAATTAAGTTTATAACAATATAGTATATAATACATTTAATTGATAACATATTTAAAATTCTCAAAGTGTAGTGGTTCCCACAGCCAAAGGGGAATGAGATAGCTATCCACCTATATTTATATCTCCACAACTTCACTCCTTTTTCCTCAATCAAACACACTCATTCCTTCTCCATCTTCGTCGTTTCTAAGCTCAGTTCCTCCAATGGCGGATAACACCGATAACCGGAGAACGTTATGGGGAGTTCCAGAGAAGCTTCAGCTTCACATAGCGATGCTTACGTTGCAGTTCGGTTACGCCGGATTCCACGTGGTCTCGAGAGCTGCTCTCAACATGGGAATCAGCAAACTTGTCTTCCCTGTTTATCGTAACATCATCGCGTTGCTTCTTCTCCTTCCCTTCGCTTACTTCCTCGAAAAGTAACCTTTTAAATAAAACCCTTTTCTTTCTTATATTTGGTGTGATTTTAAGCTAATGATTTAGTAATTTAATTACCATAAACTTTAGGAAGGAGAGACCAGCGATTACTCTAAACTTTCTCATCCAGTTCTTCTTTTTGGCACTCATCGGGTATATATATATTCCTCATCACTTTATATATTTTTTTCGTAATAAAACTGGATTATCAATGAATTATTTGTTTATTGAATTGTTACGCGACAGAATAACGGCGAACCAAGGGTTTTACTTATTGGGACTGGACAACACTTCACCAACATTTGCTTCTTCCATGCAAAACTCTGTTCCCGCCATCACCTTTCTCATGGCTGCTCTTCTCAGGCATCGATCTATTCTCTCATATCTTTTAGTTTTCAAAAATAGAAAGACAAATATAATTTTAAAAACTTATGGACAGCTAGGGGATGTAACGAACTACTTTAATAATGTTCGTTTGACTTTTCAACGTAGAAGAAAGAAACCTACCATACATAACTGGATAATATTATACGTAGACAAACATTAAATGCCATTTCCAAGAAAATTAAAAGATTTTAAAAATAACGTGATCGATCACAAATAGTAACACACTGTTTACGTTGTGTATGTAAAAAACAAAACCAGGATCGAGAAAGTTAGAATAAACAGAAGAGACGGTATCTCCAAAGTCTTGGGAACAGCTCTTTGCGTGGCCGGAGCTTCCGTCATCACTCTCTACAAGGGTCCCACCATCTACACTCCGGCCAGCCACCTCCACGCTCACCTCCTCACGACCAACTCCGCCGTGTTAGCGCCGTTAGGAGACGCCGCGCCGAAAAACTGGACCCTTGGCTGCATCTACCTGATCGGGCACTGTCTCTCGTGGTCCGGTTGGCTCGTTTTTCAAGCTCCCGTTCTTAAATCTTATCCGGCGAGGCTCTCGGTTACTTCTTATACTTGTTTCTTCGGAATCATTCAGTTCTTGATCATCGCTGCTTTCTGTGAAAGAGATTCTCAGGCTTGGATTTTCCACTCCGGTTGGGAGCTTTTCACCATCCTCTACGCCGTTAGTTTCTTATTCTTCTTATAAACCTTTACACCTCTTACAGCCAATTTCCTAATATTTCGATTTACGCCCTATTGTTTTATATTGGTATATTTAGTCCTTACGTAAGGTTTAATTTCAGGGAATCGTAGCGTCTGGAATCGCGTTTGCGGTTCAGATTTGGTGTATTGACAGAGGGGGTCCAGTCTTCGTTGCTGTTTACCAACCTGTTCAGACTTTGGTCGTTGCCATTATGGCTTCCATTGCTTTAGGCGAAGAGTTTTACTTGGGCGGGTATGTAAAATCAATTAACCATACATAAGGGTGATTTTACATCAATATTTAATATCCGAAGGAGCGAAACGGTAATTTTAACACTTTTCTGCCACGTGGCGAATTTCAAATGGCAGGATTATTGGAGCTGTGCTGATCATAGCGGGACTATACTTTGTGCTGTACGGTAAGAGCGAGGAGAGGAAATTTGCAGCTCTTGAAAAGGCGGCGATCCAGTCCTCCGCGGAGCATGGTATCGAACGTGCGCCCGTTTCTCGCAGCTCCATCAAATCGTCGATCACTGCTCCACTGCTCCATCAGTCAACGGACAATGTTTGACCACCACTCGAGTCTTTTCTCCAGCTAATAATTACAAATGCCATTACCCAATTAAAAGGGAAAACAATGGTGTGCCGTTGTGTTTTATGACTTTTGTGTCTGCTTTTTTTGTTTCTTTTTTTTTTAGTTTTTTTTGTTTCTTATTAATATTAATTACCTAAGAAAGGTTTTTGAGGAGGAAAAAAAAGTGGATGAGACATCATTGTTCATGAGGATGGTGGTGATGATGAAGACTATGTTGGGATCTTGGATTGGGACTTCTCTATATATAATATATTTGGCTGATATATTTAGTGCCACTTTTTATTACATTTCTTGTGGGTTTTCTTTTTCCTTTTCGATCTTTAATAGAATGTTATAATTTGCATTTATGGTCTCTTATAATGATCACTGTCCAGGATATTCAATTTGGATAGGCTCATCTGAATTGAAAGTAAAGAAAGGGATCTGTTTAACAAAAAAAAAACGACGTTTTACAAGAATCAATTGGTTAAAATTAATTTAATATTCAAGTATCCAAAACCTTGAAATTGATATTAAATCAAGTTTTACTTTTAACCAAATGGACAAAAAGTCAAAAGCTGAAATTAAAACAATTTTTTTTAAAATATATGTGATAGAAAAACTGAACTCAAGTCAAAATCATGTCCATATATATATACCAAGCTGATTTGTAGCAAATTCAATTTTTATGTCAGTCGCTATGTATTCAAAAATAACCACCCTCTAATTAAAAACTCAATGCGGTCCATTTCTTTTTATCGGTTTTCCTGGGACGCCTTGCACGTCAATTTTCTTACATAATTGTAGTATATCATAATATCTTATTCTCTTTATATACATCATCGTCCTTAAGAAAATGACTTGCACTATGTTTACTTCTGTGACCAGAGATACAAAGTGCATAAGCTAGTTTGGCACTTTGTGTTAAGTGGAATATGTGGATCCAAGATTTGTGTGTTTGCATCAACTATTAGGCGGAGACCACATATATGGCCCGAATATTTGGTTTTGGGCCGGGCATAAACAGGCCAGTTTATGAACTGTGTGATTAACCTTGTCATGTACACTGTTGAAGACACACGAGGGTTACATTATTAGCACAAAGGCCAAGGTGAGATGGAAACAAAAAAATAGAAAGATAACACAACAAACACGCAATAGCCAAGCCCACTGAAAACAGAGACATATGCAAGTATGAACATTGACCGTTACACTTACACACAACGTTATATCCCGTTTTCATTACATAGATACATTGCACTTCTAATAGTATGTGGTAAGACACACAACTGTCGTTCTTTTATGTTATTAATATGTGGTAAGAATCTGCTTTTACACTACAGACAAACCACATGTTACGTACATATATAATTTACACAGAGCTGATGTAATATTTACACACATTCCTAGATTACAGTGACTATATATTTTGTATATGTATATATATTTTGTCTATGATAAGGTCTTAACAATTATGAGAGTTTTTGGTGAAACCTTAGAGTGGGGAATGAAAGGAATCCCAATTAGAATAGCCACCAGAAATACAAGTATTAAACGGAGAAGTATCATCATCTCCTTCATGAACCCATGGAAATCCTAACGACATTGTAGCTTCTTCCCATATAGAAGAATCATCCGTCACCGGCAAATCAACGTTCATATGTTCCCATGAGATCTCCTCTCTTGTTCCCCACGATGACATCATCTCGTTGGATGAACAAGGCGACTCTTCGTTGACCGAGTCACTGCTTTTTCCACCGGTGTTGCTGCTTGGCGTTTGGGACGACGGTGTCCTAGACACGGTTTCAGGATAACTTCTTAAGGACTCAGGGAGGTTGAGGTGAGCCTCGGGTCCATAGAGCTTACGAGCTGCGGAGTCATAAGCCAAGGCAGCGTCACGGGAGGTATCAAAAGTACCGAGCCAAAGACGAGCTCCTCGGTTAGGCTCACGGATCTCAGCGACCCATTTGCCCCAAGTGCGTTGTCTAACGCCTTTGTAAGTGCAAGAAGCGTTCTCAGGTCCACCTTTTCCTCTCATACAGCCTTTCCTCGAACTAGCTTGGACCGTTCGTTGTTTTTTATTTGCACCAACCATCATTACCTTTGGTTCTATGGATGACATATGCTGATGTTGACAGCTCGAATGAGTTGTTGTGTGACGATTTTTGGTGAGTGATAAGGCAAAGACATGAGGAAATGTGTAAGTGTGTATATATAGTGGAAGAGAGTGATGAAACGTGGCAAGGAGGAGACATAGCTGGCGCAGACATGACGGAGGGTCGTGTCGAGAAGAGGAAGCTGGTGTTGTGCTTGTAATCCTAACACTTGTCTCGAGAGTCCCTTCTCTTTTTGGCAACAAAGAACGTAAAGCCAGTGTAGAGAGAGATTTCCTAGTAAAAAAAGAGAGAGAGAGAGAGTTATGGATAAGGGCATACGTGATTGGGGGAAATATAAATATATATTTCAATATGAATCAATGGACCGGTGTGAACGCGTTTCCACTCCAATATAAAATTATGGATTTTTACGTCATAATATAAACAGATACAAATGAAAAAGCAAATAGTGGAAAAATAAGTTGTTTGAATTTTCAATACAGCGAACTCGCAAAGCAGTTTAAAGCCCGAAAAAAAGAACGACTTCAAATAACTTAATTTTCTTGTTTCTTATTTGAAAACAAACCATATTACTTTTTTACTGATCGACAAAATATAGATAGAGTTTTATTTCTGTCTTGAAAACACCACATATTAACATAAAGAATAATTTCTTTTTTTTTTTGCAAATGTTTAAGCTACGCTGTTGTGAAAGATGTATATCAGATCATCTATCTAATTCGTAAATTCTGTGAAATCATATAATTTCTTTTTGTACATGCATGGAGAGTACCAATTTTTTCCTTCTGTGTTATCCATTCTCACGGCCTTTATAAACGTTACGTGGTATAATATAGCAATATACAAGTATTAATCTGTGTAAGAGGATCAGTCATGTGGCGGCTAATATGTCCACGCAGTCACGCATACTGAACGCGCGGGACCCGAAGTTGGCTCTTCGAGCTACGGACAAAAACAAAGTTCACTGAATCTTTTCTTTCTCTCTTTTTGTTTTTTCAGAATACATTTTTGTGGTCTAGACACACATGAAAAGTCCATCTCTTCTCATATTCTTTTTAACCGATAACTACAAAGCTCCGGTTCAAATTTATCTTATCTTTATCTTTCAAGTTAAAATATTTAAATAGTAGATATTGTGGGTAACTGCAAAACCATAACTCACAAAATGTTGACGACAAAACCGAAAAAGAAATCCCACACAGATGACAGATCAATGTAACTGCAAGAACTAATACCATCGACCAATCTTGTGTACAAAGAAAAACGAATAGATGGATTTTCACTCTCTTTAAAAATAATAAGATTAATTAGCATGAATTCTCTTGTTCTATTGGGATTTCGTCAATGGTGGATTCGACAGGTTGAAGAAAGCGAGAAGAGTTGGGAGTACACTTGTCCCCAACATGATAATAAGAAAATTCATAATGGACCTCTCTTTGGAAAACACTAAGGAAAGCAAGAACTTATAGACATAAGCATTTCTTCACTAACGTCAAGACTACAGTTCAAAAACAAATAACATACAAAAACCAAAAAAAAAAAGGCATTATTATCGTATTGCCAACTTGTCTAACTTCTTACTCCCCAGATTTTGAGTCTTTTGAAATGCTTTTTGAAAATAACATTTAGAACGTACGATTGTATACGCCTCTCACATGGCCACGTCCACCATATCCATAGCCACCTCCGCCGCGCCCACCATAGCCACGGCCACGTGAATAACCATTTCGGCCATAACCACGGCCTCCTCTCGATCTTGAGAACTCACCAAATGTCTGGAACCATATTATACAATGTTACGAGCCGACTTTTTTCTTAGAACCAGATTATAATTTGGTACTAACCTCCGTATCTAGTTTTCGTTGCTCTGAGAATCTAGGTCTCGCGTTTTGGGAGTCTCGGTTGATGGTATTTGATGAGAGGCTATCGAAGAAGTCGTCTTTATTGTAAACAGGCTACATCAATAGATATATATAAGATCAGAGAGGGTGAACATATAGCTTAACTTGATAAATAAGTCTACTTCACTCACATTGACATCTGCCTTAGGCAGCTCAGCTTCATCTTCAACTGGGTATTCATCATCTCCATCACCGTCTTTGGTATTCTTCCCAAGATGACCCCAGACTTCATCCTTGTTGAACTTTTCATTCATCGCCGTGAAATCAAAATCTTCAGTGAACTTCATTACATGGTGTGATGATCTCTGCAAGCAAAGACGACTTTAGTTCTATATTATGATCTGCGGTCTAAAAGATACTCTCTTTCTATTATTAGAATTCACATCATAAAGATGATTCAGAAGAATGTTACCCCAGCTCCTCTTCCTCCTCTTCCACGTCCCCCCCTGTAACCATTATGACTTGGGTATGAATGCCCATTTAGCTGAGAGAGAAACAAAAAAAAAGCAAAACGAGTTCTGTCACTCATCAACACATGAAGTCCAAAAGCCTAACGAAGGAACCAAAAAAGCTTTTCATGCATAATCGGAAAAAATAGAGACAAAATGGACCATCAGCAAACGCAAAATCATGGCATGTAATATTGTCTGCCGCAAACTCTTGCTATCAAAGTAAGAAAAAGTTTAAGGCTTTTTATTCTATAAATAAACGAAGCAGATATATTGCTTAAAGGCATCACGAGCAGATTAAAAAAATTATATTTGGAAAATTAATAAAAAAGGCTAAAACCTGGTGAGCTGGTCTTGCAGAGGCAGGTAATGGCAATATTGGGGGTTGTGCTTCTGAAGTATTAGTAACAGATTGTTCTAAGCCAGCTGATGATGGTGCTTGAACCACCTCAACATCTTTATCTGTATTTTGAGAGGGCGTAGACAAGGAGACTGCAGCAGATCCAGACTGCATCAGTTGGCCAGGAGTAACCAATAAAGGTCTTGGCTTATCTTGGCTAATGGTACTAGAACCTCCAACCAAAGAAGCAGACGTCAATGGTGCTGTCTGCGGCATAGAGACTGGACCAGGAACAGCGCTAGGCTTGTTAGACAGCGAAAGGCCAGCACTTATTTCAGCGGCTCTAGTAGTCGATTGAGAAAAGGTAGGCAAGCTAGTATCCTGAGATATGGTAAGAGGAGCAGCAACAGGAGCTTTGTTAGACAGCAAAGGAGGTGACATCTCTGAAGCTTGTGAAGCAGATGGTGCTGAAGGCAGGCCCGAAGACAGCGGTAGAGGAGGACCAGACGGAGGCGATACACTCGGCGCTTGAATTTGAGAACTAGTACTATTACTATAAGGAAACAACGTAGGAGTTGCTTCTGGCAAGCTTGAACCCTGCATAGCTGAGGAACCAGACGGTAGAGAAGCATTAAAGTTAGGGTATTGCGGAGGTTGCTGCAGAGAAGTATGCATTGACATTCCCTGAGGTGGTCGAACCAGAGACTGTTGATGCAATTGCGGGAGACCGTTGGGAGGTGGAGGGTAGTATCCTTGCCAATACATTGGCGGTTGTGGTGATGGTCCCCAAGGACCGAGATTTCCACTGGGTTGATACAAAGGCATACTGTTTTGAAATCCCATCCCATATTGTCCATTGTGAGAACCAACAACATCAGGCACTGGCCCGGTCACAGAGGAAGGAGGCAAGCTACTAGATGTTGGCGGCGTCGGGTTAGGATAGTGAGACTGCAGAAGAAATACAAGTGGAGGGATGAGAATGACATACAAATTGCAATCTTAATTCACAATTCTACAACGTTTTTCTCTGTTTCACCTGAATGATAGCAGGGTCGTTGTTTACAGTAGGCGTAGGCTGAACAGGAGGAGAAGCCTTGACTTGCAGATCCTGCCAACAACAAGAACAATCATTTCTTGAATAAGTCACGAAGACAACACTGTGTATATACATACATACAAGCAGGAGTAGTAGTAGTACAATACCTTGATGTCAGTTCCACGGAACAATATGTACTCATAAACTCTGTCACTAGGAGGAACTTGCGAACCATCTTTCTTCCTTCCTTCAGTTCCAAATGATCGGACTACAAACAAAAATGTGAAATTTCAGGAAAATCAGAAACATCTCAATCCCATGGACAAGGTTAAGACTAAGATTTGCTTGCTCCAGCAACAAAATCAAAAGGACAATCCAAAGCTTTAAGATCCACGAAACACTTTTCAACCGGAACTAAATCGCTCGATAAAGGAGCGAGATTTCGAGTGTAGGAAGGAAGGAAACGTACCGTTTGAAAGTCCGATACTGGATTCATCTGTATTGATGTTGTAAAGAATCCCTTCGTATCTGATCTCGCTCTTAGATGTCAAACTAATCAAGCTCCCCACGTAAGAATCCGCCGCGGAGCTCGATTTCGCGCCCGTATTATCAGCCGCCATATCCGATCTATGTATCGAAACTCAGACGAAAACAAAAAAAAAGAGATTCAGACTGAAACACGGTCCTCGATTTCTTGATCCCTTTCAGAAGCGAGAGAGCTGGAAAAAGAAAAATTAGGGTTTATTCCAATTTGGGGGTAAAGTGAGATTGAGCTTCTGTTTCTGATTGATTGATAGATATATCCATAGACCCCATAGAAGAGAAGTACCTGTTTTTTACCGTAATAGCCTCGTATATTTTTTTAATCTCCACTAATCATAAGACGCCAAGTGTTCACATGTGATCTCTCTGCAAAATATTTTATTGTTTTTTTGTTTGTTTGATATGTAAAAAAAAAATGGTAATGAAAGAATGTAACGCAAAGAAAAAGAGATAATGTAATTGCTGCAAAAATGTGTTTTTCTGATCCACACTGAATCATTCTTATGATCAGGAAAACACTTTTTTAATTCACATCCCAAGCAATTTATTCAGATCCATTGGTAAGTTTCCACATTATTCTACATGAGAAGTTCACATATCGAAACAAAGTGATACTACTAACTCCATAAGCTTAATTATATGCAAAGCTTAAACTAATACCACCAAAACGTAACATAATTTACAGCCATTACAGTTTAGGAACTTTGCAGATTTTTCGTATATATAGCAAATTATCACAGCAGAGATTCGGTAGGTATCAATATCATCACTAGGACGAGGAAGGGAAGACATCTTTGACAGCAGAAGCTGCAGTCAAGTAATTGAGTGTATTCCTCAGCGTCTCTCTCTCCCTCTTTAACCTCGCCGCCGTATCCTCCAGCTCCAGCAACGCTTGCTGCTCCCTCGGCGCTCCTTCGAACGTGCTCCCGACGAAGAACGAAAACGGCGTCGGAAACTGGTTCCTCCTCAGGTCCTGCGCCTCCTTCTCCGGCTTCCCGTTCAGCCTGTTCGACAGCCGAATCACTTCCTTCATCAGAACCTCGACCTCGCTCGCCAGCGCGTCCAGGTTCTCCTCCCCTGACGGACGGTCCTCCAGCCACGTCACCTCCGCGACGAGGTACGGCTTCGTGCGGACGAGGCTCGTGACGCGGAACCGCTCCTGGCCTTTGCATATCAGGAAGAACCGGTCGTCGACGAGCCGCTCGTGCTTCACGACCTCGCCGACGCACCCGACCTCTGCGGCGGATCCGGAGACGGAGTCGGAGTAAACGACGCCGAATCGGAGGTCGGACTGGAGGAGAGTGTGCATCATGATTCGGTAGCGGAACTCGAAGATCTGGAGAGGGAGGATCGCGCCGGGGAAGAGAACGAGCGGGAGAGGGAACAGAGGAAGCTCGACGACGTCATCGGATTTGGGAGGGTTCGCGTTGTGGTGCTTCTCGGAGAAGGAGGAGGACGAGCATCGGAAGGAGCCGAGCTTACAGCGACGGAAGGCAACGGTCGGAGATGGAGAGCCGGTGTTGAAGGAGGAGCGAAACGGCGGCTTGGATTTGAAGGAAGATAGCGAAGTCGAAGAAGGTGAAGAGACTGTGTGTGGAAGCGCCATCATCGATGGAAAAGAAAAAAGAAAAAAACTTTAAATTCGTTATTTGAATTTATGTAATTCTTTTTCAGGGTGTTTAAAGAAAATAATAATAATAATAATTATGAAAAATTTATAATTGGCGTGTCGCGACTACACAGATATTCGAGTGATCGTTTTTTTTGGGTTGGATAATAAACGAGAGGAGAGGAAGAAGTTGTGGATGTGGTTTGGAATATATCCCACGAATTGAGAGACTTTATACGTTATCCATTTACGTAATTATTCAAATGCCACGTGCTCTTTCTATAATTAAAGGTTGAATCTCTAGATTAGATTAGGGAATCACATGCTTTAACCCACCAACACGATGAACAAGAGGAAATTATAAGCTCGACTGTTTGGATCTAGTAGAGTTGTAACATGTAACAAAGCTCAGTTACTTGGATCACTTGCTTTAACCCATCAACTCGATGAAGGTTTCGTTCTATTTATGATTTTTCTTTTAACAAACTGAGACTCGTGTCGTGTGCCTTCCATGTGAGTGATGATGATCTCACACTATCAGCATCATGGAATTCATAAGCTGTAAAACTGAAGAAAACATTCCCTGATAACAGAGTAAATGCAAGTAGGACAATAAATGGGCTTCATCAGCTGCAAAGCCCATTAGGATAAAACAGAAGACATATCTCTCTCAACATCACACACACCCAAAACATCAAAGTACAGATGGGCCGGTTAAACGAAATAATTTGAGCAAATTAAAACCTAGAGATATTGAAGATAAAATGAATAGAAGCCCCATAAATAAGCCCATAATAGAAATTGGCCCCATCATACGAAATGGCCCATTTTAGAGGTGGTGTTAAATGATCTTGAATCTTTGTTTGCTGAAACAAACTAACAAAAATATTTTAACACTTGCAGCCAAATGATAAAATTTCGTTGAACGAGAGTTCGTTTCATTAACTAGACTAGATTCCAAAAAAAGATATTGTAAGAAAGAAATATAGAAATATTTTCATAAATCAGATTGAAACTGAAACTAAAATGAGAACCACTAAATCAATGGGGAGATTAGGAGACCAATAGAAGCAGTGTAGTAGGATAAAGACGAGTTCAAGGCACGTGGGCTTTGGAATCGTTTGTCTACGTTGCGACAAAACCATGCAATTTCAATCATAATTAATTTTACAGAAACAAAACTTATTATCGCTTTCGTTAAAAAAAACGAATCAGTGCTTTCATCTCAAAGTTTAGCCAATAATGATCAAAGAGTATTTATATATAGAGCTTCGGAAACAAAGCATATGCCATGTTGCTTTTGTCGTACGATAGACGACGATAGTATAATTTTTTTTTTTTTTTTCACAATTCGACTTTTTGGTGTGCCTTTTCCTTCATAAATTCTGAAATGTTATGGTGAGTATTATTTGAAAATATTATTTATAAAAATTTAAAACAGATTATAATTTATTTTGGAATACTGTTTTGGTATTAAACTCCAATAAGTTTTGACCACAACTCACAACATATATATACATACACTCCAGAAAACATCTAATATGCAAACAGATTTATATGTTGGCGGAATCTACAAAATAAATATTCAGAGGACATAAAAATGTGATGTGTATCCCAACACAAAAGCATCATAACAGTCTACATTACGATTCAATACATTACAATTAATATTCTTTCAAAGACTTTCGATTTTTTCGGAGAATGATTGGCCAAAATGTGATGTCGATGGAGGCTTTGGTCCCAAACTTTCAATTTGATCAATGAGGTACATTCCAAAGCTCTCAATTCACGTCGACAACGAAAAAAGAAAAACCAAAAAGAACAGAACACTATTAATGTTTATGTTTTTATTTGAATCCACACAACCACAAAATAGAAAAATACAAGGTCCCCTTTAAGATGATTGATGGCCCTATAGCAAGAACAAAGTTTCATTGAATCTTATATGGTTTTCTCATTTACCAAACTTATAGATAATGACACAAAACGGTAAAAAGATTAAGCGGAAGAAAGAATGGTACTTAATACCAAATTTGAATATGTATCAGAGGAATATCATATTTGAATCTACATATGTGCCAGTTAAGGATGCAATCAAGCGGCTGCTCCTCAACTTTGATCATCACATCATTGAGCACATCTCAAGCAAATAGCAATCAGAGAGTGCGGATGCTGTTGCGTTGTGTGGAATTAAGAGATTTAGTTCAAACTTCAAACTAAGTATGTTAACGTATTATGTTTATTAACATATTTGTTGGCACAATATTATTTGGGGTCGTAAAACAAAAAGAATCACCTTAAATAAAATAATTTATTTCTCTGTCAACAAATAAAAACAAATATTCTTAGAGGTCCTAAATAAATTTTACTTATTACGTAAATATTTTGTGTGAGTTTTATTTATGAGTTGGTTATTGAAAAAAAAAATTGTTTTAACATTATGTTAACTTCAATTAATCTTATTTTGTCCTTTTAATTTTTCATTCAAGATAAAGAATTTGTTTATTTTTAAATAAGATTTTTTTTGTCTTACGCCTCTTTTACCATTAGGTCCCGGCCGTCGCATATCTACGTAAGTGAGCCGGCCATGTTTTTAATATTGATTATTTTCAGTTCCTTAGCTAGTTATAAAGGAAAATAACCAATTAAATCCGCTCCTTTACTTTTTGTTGTCGCTTCGGAAAAAATTGCTATAATTTACTAGTCCTAATGCATGAATATATTGATACGCCATATTTTAATTCTACGATTAAGAGTCATAAAGACCTTTATTTATCAAAACAAACAGCTTATAACTTCAGAGATACTATATAATGACAAAGATAAGGGTAAAATAATAGCTCGAAGCCTTGAAGGAATATCATCAAAGATCAACGCAAGAATCAATTTTTTTTCAAAAAGGAAGCAAACACTGGATACGTAAATGGTACTTCTCGTCTCTTCGATTATTTCAAAGGCTCAATTTTTTTTGCCAAATTTGTGGAGAGTGTTGTGAAACTTGTTGCTGCACACGGTAACCATTTTTAGGCAGACATAGTGAAGATCTCGAATCAAATCCCTTTGGCTCCGTATCTTTGAAGTCCCAATCAAGTTTATTTCTTTCATCTTTCTCTTTGCATATATTATTTTTCACATCCAGCATAATATTATAATTACGACGTATAAGTTACGTACAGGTAATGTTTAGCGTACAAAGGTACTAAGTAATGAGTTTGATCTTTCGTTTCGAGTATTTAAACTAATACTGTCCGACCACGAATTGGATAAGGGATAACGCATGTGTGGGTTAGTATGTGTCAGTGGCTTATACATTATGTATATTTTTTATTCCAAATAAAATGTTAACTATTTTAATATTATCAAACAAACGAAAAAAACTCAAATGAATGTTTTAAAAATGCTTCGTAGTTTCCAAAAAAAAAAAAAAAATTAAAAATCTTTTCACATATTATTAACAAGAAATGCTATAATATTTTTGTAATCAAATTAACTGCAATAAATAGTTCGAACTAATAGCGCAATGCCTTAAGATTAAGTTCAGCTTCAAGTTCGCTTTTAAAAATGTTTAAAATTTATGACAATTTGGTTTCTAGTCACCGTTAAAGAAAAATAAAGTTTGATATTTTTTTGGAAGTACTTGTACATTCTCTCTGTTTTACAATAAGTAATGTTTTAAAAGAAAGAAAATTGTTTCATATTATATAATGTTTTCAATTTTCAATACAGTATTAATTAATTTTGATTGTTTTTGACCATTTATTGAAATTTACTAAGAGAGGGAGTCTACAATAAGATCTTTTACCCATGTTTAAGTGTTTCTTTCATTTTGATCAAACTTCATGTTTATGATTCAGATTTGTATCGTGATAAGTTACTAAAACTCATGCATATCTAAACTAATAAACCAGCCGGCTGCTAGACAAAGGGAAATTAAAGATTAAAGAATAATAATAAAAGAAAAGTTGAGCTGTAAATATGCATGAAAGAAAGAAAAAGTGTTTGGGAACTCATCTCACTAAGTTGCTCTGTCGCTCTCACTTTTACAAAAGTCCTAACGAATCTCTTTTATATTTCTCAAACATTTCCACTTCTCTCTTTCACGTGACACTAATTATCCACCCATTGAGTACTTTCACAATTAAATACCTTTTCAAATTTCTATTTTATCTGGGTGTCTGTTATGTATACGTATCTTTCATTCTTTTCATCTCTCATGGTATATATTATATATATACACACATACATATAAATATTATATAATGTAATATGATATTTATATACGTGTGTAATGCGCTATCTGATCATTGCGTCGTAAAATCAATAGATGATGACACTGCTGGATTCGTAAATCGTAATTTCCACGGTGATAGAAAGTATTATTATATTTGAAGAACTCTCACACGTAAGAAAACATTTCGCTCAATATTGGACCCTCACCCAACCAATACGATGGATTAGAGAGCGATCGCGTAAATAATAAAAAGACCACCCTTTTTCTTGCGTATACACTAATAAGTCAATAACTTTATAGGGAAACCTAACTGGAATATGTAATCTAAAAGAAAATTATTCACTGGTGGCGAGTAATATTTTGACCAAAATGAGCAGCTGCATAAAATATTAAATCATGTATGGGACGACACTTTTTTGCATGGGAAAGGTGGATATGTTTGGTTCATGACCGAAAAAACTCACAAGTGACAGTTGTGTGTAAGGTCCACTAATTAATTAAAACTCGACAATACAACATATACGGTCCATTCAATATAATAACGTATAAATATAAATCTATATGCACAATAATTTCCTAACCACTTATGTGGCTGAGAGACTGATTCGAAAAAGATGGTTCTGAACTCAAAAAGGAACCCACGAATCCACGATGATCGCCACGATAAAGTTACACATAGTCATTTTTAACTAAAGGAATAATTAATTAAGTACGTTGCATAAAAAGTTTGACGAGGCAGAGTGTTTAGAGTCTTTAGACTTTAGAGCAAAAGTGTTTAAAGAAATGATGGAGTTCGTCGTCATATTCAGAAAACATCTTGTTTTCATACAATGCTTCCTTTGTTCTAACACGTAAGAGAGTATTAACATTAAAAGAAAACAAAAAGCACCTAAGAGAGTAAAACTGGCTGAACTTTGTTTTTTTAACTTGGTATAATAATAGAGAAGCGTGGGCTAAGTTAAAA